CCTGTGGAAACTAGAGGAGATCATGGCACAGTTCTGTGGGAAAAACTAAAGAGGGTGTTTGACTACACAGAGTCTTTGTGGGTCTGCATAGTCACAATTATCAGTTACACCAGAAGGTGTTGACTTTAACTTATCATCTAACTGTAACTGATAGCTCACATTATCGCCTGTTTATGCAGCTGGTTCATGGGTTGCAGATTATAACATAGGACATGTTCTAATTAACATGCACATTGAGTTCTTTGCACCTGTAAAAAAGCAGTCTTAAAATGTAGCCATTTTAAAATGATTAAAACTAAAATGAAAGCAATGTATGAATGTCACTGTAACGCTTGTTAAAAAAAGTGACTTTAAATCTGTTTTTAATTTGTTTTTTTAAGCTAAATGTGGCAAAATTGAGCTGTTAATTTTAGCACAATTGATGGGTTGGAATTAAAGCATTCCTCTACAATCCAGTCAAAGTCATATAAACATTTGTAACTGTGTAGGTGACTGTGAGGGAACTGTTGACTTAATTGTGTTCAGGCAACATGGCAGATTTATTGGGGATAAAAAGAACTTCAAGATTTTTTACATGTGTAACAGATATAAATCAGACTTCAAACGTCATTTGGCTGCAGGAAAGAAAAGCTTGTATCTATTTGTGTACGTACCAGTGCAAACAACTGACATCATCACCAATTATAGGGTTAGTTCTTCAATTAGGAAAAAGTACTGCATGTTCATAAGTACTAACTAAGCTGTCAAGAGGCAAAGAAATAACATATTTCGTTTCTGCATTATGTGCCATTCTCCTTTAAGCTTAGCCATCTGAGACAGGACGGGAAAAAAATAGAAGGAGAGATTATATCTGTGTTGATGAAACATTACAGGCTGGATTCTAAGGAAATAATCAAGATTTTTGTTTGGTGAGTTGTTACTCATGAGTAGTGTGATGTCTCAGACCTCACAGACCATAAGACAGGCCACAGCCTGGATGCCACTAAAACTAAAGAGGCTAGTCCCTCTCTCATCCATGAGCTGGCCGTACTGAACCCCCTGCCTCTGTTTCGTCAATGTCATCGGCCTGTCATGACAAAGTTGACATTAGTTTCACAGTTTATCAGAACCTTATCAGGGGACTATGTAACACCACACTCACGTGGCACTATTCTCATTCTCCAGTGCCCCTGGGTGAGGGGCAGGGAGGAATTAAGTCACTGTGCTAAATGAAATCCTTTCCGCTACATTAAATCAATGCAGACTAAAAAAGACAAACTTTCTGGTCTCACATTTATAATGACAATACAAAATCAGTAAATAGCTGTTAAGACCTTCCCTCATATTTAAATATTTCCTCCAAAACTAAATTAGCATGTGGGGAAATTACTCTAAACACTGCTGTGCCACTCTAAATTCTTGACTTTAGGACATCAAACCTCCTGTTTGCCTCCAACTCTGGCGACACAGCAGTCCAGCCACGTGTTACTGCTGGGCCCAGATACCTAAAATATTCATAGTGTCCTTGTCAGAACACATTTATGCAGCTTCACCGAACAAATCTCTGTAGAATAAAGGAATGAAGGGGGCGCCAGAGTCTACAACATGACTCAGCAAAATGAAGGCTGTGTCCTTTGTGTTGGAATTAGTTGAAGGCAACACACACACACACACACACACACACACACACAGACACACACACACACACACACAGTTTTTCTTTTCTTTTGTAGTTGATTCAATGGATTATTTAATAATAACACGTCAGAGATAAAATACCAGTTAGCCAAGATATTGTCCACCCTACATATAATATCTTTTTTTAATTTTACTCTCACCTGTGTGTGACACAATGAAGCAATGCTGACTCATGAAATGCTGGTCATAAGGGATGATGTACTGTTGCAGAAGATAAAAATCTATTTGTATACCTTTATGCAGTGGTGTGAGTCATGCTTCTGTTTTTATTTATTTGTTTGTGCTCACTTTTTTTCTGTGGCCATGGCAGCACTGATACAGCAGTTGTATCTGGGCCTTTTAGGACAGATGGTGAATTTCAATGTACTCAGGACAGGGGTTTTAGTGAAATGCCTTATGGTTTTCATCATATTACTTATATATTAAGAGGAACATTTAAATACAGTAAGACGATGCTGCAGCCTATAATGTCTTTCAAACATTAACTCAGCTGACAACCTCAAAATGACTCTCACACCAGATTTTGGAGTCCGTCTGTAAACTTTTCAAGTTCAGTGTTTAGGATGTACAGTAGTGCCTCTATGAATGGACACAATAATAGGATTCAGATTCAGCAGCTGCACTACCAATTATTATTACCACGACCTATTATCTTGTGTGAAGTTTAACATTTGAAATCATTTTGAAACAACTTTAGATGTATTTATTACTTTTTTATAGTTGTGGTGTTGTTAGATTGCATTATATTTCAAGATTTTCATGGTATATTTTCTACTCATATCTCATATAAAAGGCAAAGTAGCAGAATATAATGTACGGTAATAGCAATTCAAGTACTGTAGTGTAATGTAGTGTTTGTCACAGGGCTTTTGTGTCCATCTTCTGTATCTGGCTGTAGAATTAGTCATACTAAAGGTATATGGACACCAATATTTAATTTGTCAGTTTTTTCAGTTTGTTTCCCACTTTTTGGTCCCGATCCAGTTCCTAAAAACACCTCATTAAAAAACTGATAAGTCAGGCTGGATCGACTGGCTACCGTCCATCAGCTGTAATCACCATGTCTGAGGCTCCAGACACTGAGCTGAGGAGATGGACTGACTTCTTGCCAGGGAATCTTCATTCACCTCTGCGGACAGTCAGAAGAAGGCTGAGGTCAGACCGCCCAAAGGAGCTTTTGCAAAGACAAAACTTAAAATGAGCTGTGGAAGAAGCATTGACATGAAGAATGCTGTGCTGATTCATGGTTTGCACTGCATAAAATGCATGAATTCAACCCATTAGTATTATACAAGCTACAGGTTTTTACATTTAAATTTTCATAAGCATGTGTTTAGCAATCACATGGTGTTGAACAGACATTAATCATTGATGACTGTAGATACTGTATCTACTTCAAATTGTTTTGTTGAAAACATCTTAGGTGACATGACCTTTATTTTCCTGGGCTGTGTATATGGAGGTGCTTCCTCTACGGTCCAGGCACACATATAGACACAGCTACAAAAAAAACCCCCAAAAAAAACAAACAGAGGTGAAATATGATTCAGGTGTTCATCCTTGGAAACCAGCCATTCATTTTCTTGACCATGAGCCAAGAGTAACTTCTTTCACCTTGTCAGGAATGTCACCCGCACATGGATGGAGGCACAAAGTGTTGTGGTACTAATACCAGCACAAGAACTGTTATGAAGAGATTACTTTGTGTTGATAAACCTAATCTGTGTTGACTGGACTCCTGGCTTTGGTTGTTATCACTGTGGTTTTCTACACAATGGTTAGCCTGCTTTTAAGGTTGTGGCTAAATGGTCTTGTGCTGCTGTCAGTGAATTACATAGTACAGAGACAAGTACATGCAGACAAATACTGACATGCACACACACACACACACACACACACACACACACACACACACACACACACACACACACACACACACACACACACACACACACACACACACACACTCACCATGCAGATACAAAAGCTGACTGACACATTGGTATTGAAGCGATTCTTATCCTCTAATCTAATTACTGACGTACCGAGGTAGTACTAAGCTCTTTTTAGCCAGGGCAGGTGAATGGGTTCCTACTCCTCTATGATGATGTCTGTGGAGAGGGTTTAGCCTGGATGTTCCTTCTTAATGGACATCAAACGACTTGCAGTGGTGCTGCTCGTCCCAGCATGCTGTCATGACTCACACAGACACGTAGTGGAGAATATGACATGAAATGTGACACATTGATGGTGTAAATTGCATAGCTGTTGGATTCAAAGACAGAAGACAACAAATGTAAAAGGAGAATTCCATACAGACATGATAAGCAAAAGGCAGAGGAACAACTCTGGCCACAGGTTGGACCCAGGACCAAGTGGACTTTGATTTAACTAAGCAAACATCCAATTTGCTGAGGTGTCCTTGAGCCCAGCTGCTGAATCCTACTAAGCAGATGCTGGGGCACTGTTAAAGCTCACCTGCACTCTGACATCATGTTTGAGGGCAAAGTTGGTTATTCATTACTTTCTACATCTAGTCAAGAACTATGTTTTGAGCCACTTCATTCGTGATCTGTTTTAATTTCCTTCCATTCTTCTATGTATCTTTATTTATCCAATTTCCTTCTTTTCTTTTATGTTCCCTCCCTCTTTCCTTCCTTCCTTTCTTCAACTGATCTGAATGCAGTAGAATCAGACAGACAAAGGATTGTAACAATAAGAGGAAATTTTATACTACTACTACTTTGGAAGATACCAAACTGATTTGTTTAATACAGAACACTGAAGGCTCATGTACGCTTCAGATAAACTTTGGAAAATACTTTTTTACACGGAAAAGGGACTGTGAATATTGTCCATTGTCACTTCCATTGAGATGGCATTAGGAAGATGTTTTATGGCTGATATCAATAGGACAGGCAAAACCTACTTCAAGATTCATATTAGTGCCTAATTCTTGTCTTAAATATACTGTCTTAAAAGGTGTGAACCTGTACTTTCAGTAAAGGAGCTGAATACTTTTTCCACCTTTTACTGTGACTGTTACTGTCACTGTTACTGTCACACAGAATTGTATCTCAGCTTTTGAGGGTTGGTAAATTATAATTTCTGAAAGAAAACAACACAAGAGGCAACATCAGCTTTCACATTTTTTCCCATTTATTCCCCCATACACTGTATTTCACCCTGGATGGATTTGGTCACTTCCGGTAGGCAAAATAGGACCGCCCACCGTCGCTTGCGTCACAGGCAGCGTGGCGCTCGCTAAGCTTTTGTCGTAATCGCGCTTCACTGTCACCGCCCCCATCCTGTCAGAGCTAGTCCTGACTAGAAGGAGAGTGGACGTGCTTCTCCTATTTAGCGGGAACAAACGCCTACCAGTACCGGAGCCAGCCGTGCCTATAGCCGCGTTGCGTCTTTGCTTTTACCAGAACCAACCAACTCTGAATTCACATTAAATATGTCTAATATCGTTTGTTGTCAAACGCCTCAGGTAAGAATTTGATTTTTGTCTAAATTATGCTGTTTTGTGTCTTTGTCAAGTCACACGTGGAGAAACCATGAAATCAGTTACTGGTAACAGTAGGTGCTTATGTGGCCATCATTCTTTAGCCACGTATTAATTATGGCATAAAATGAATGGTAGAAAACTGGTGTCTTTGCTTAGATTGGGTGGAAACTACTGGAAATGAATGCCTCTTAACGTTACTGGCGCGAACAGCGTCACACAAACCGCCACTTTCCGCATAACCTTACATCTAGAGATTATTAACGACACGGATGTTTAGCTCAAATTGCCAGCTAACGGAAGCTAATTCTCGCATTGGATAGGGACACATGACAACGACTGAATGTATTCGCCATGGTAATTAAGCCGGTGTGGCTGTCTCATGGCTCCCCATAGCAGCAGGTTGCCTTGCTAGTAGGCTAACATGCGCTAGCTTCCAAGCGTCTCCATCCCTCTTCAGGCTGCTCGGCACCAGCCACATACCTGCCTCGCCTTTAAGCTTAAGTGTTTGTATTGTCTGCAAGTTAAGCAGATTCGTTGGGGGGGTTCTTCCTGACCCAGTTTCTGGTGGCGGGATGCATGTACAGAGTAGCTAAATTACTTCTGGCACACCGCCAGACATCATGGCCCTAGTACATTACTCCACCAGAGGAGGAGGCAGAGAGATGAATGGCATTGCTTTGCAGCGAATGGACAAACATGGAATACATGTCCAATTGTAAGACTTGCCCACTGGGGGATGGCAGGGTGGATAACGTAGCATGGGTACATCCTGTCCTTTACTCACCCTCCATTCAGTGCCATATTGTGTCAGATTTTATGGGCTGTGACCAGTCTTGACATAAAATTGATGCCTCACTTTTGCTGTCGACGTTGAGCATGATCGGCGGTACTGTATCGATTGTCTAGTTAAGGAAATCGCCTAGCCTGAAGAGCTTTAGAAAATAGGCTCCTGGCTCCATGTTACCTTGTGCCATGGCAGTATTTGACCGACTGTTCTGTTAATCCGGTTGTGAGGATGGAAACCACGTGGAAATTTCCCAAAATAACACACTGTAGATTCATGATTTTATGAAAAGAGAATTTTTTTTTTCTAACGTCATCTAACATCTTCACTATCTTAAGTCGTAATGCTCAGACATTTTCATATTTTAATTAATTACGAGGAAATCAATTCTAGTTTTTTGAATGTGGGCAGGGTGATTCTGATTTCTCAAAACGCATTTGACTTTTTCCTCATTTTCATTGTCATCTGTTGTTGCATTTGAGTTATTATAGTATGTCAGCGTTCCGCTGTCCTGTTCAAGTGTGCGTGTTTTATGCAGTGTTTGCTTCCTCCTTCACTTATCTCACGGTCTTATTAGAGCAAGGTTTTCAAGATGTGGTAAATTTAAGTGGTAAATTTCCACACAGTAAAACTGGGTGAAATATCTGGCAGTGCCTCTTTTCACCACTGGAGGGGTGTCAAACAAGCATTGATTGTTAAGTGTCAGACCTGCACTTTTGTGCCTGACTAATCAGATGGAAAAATGGAGAGAGAAAATACATTCAGAGCTACCCTCTGTGACAAATTTGGGAACAATCTCACTCTTTCTCTTTCAGGCTTTTGTTCTTTCTTCTTTGTTCCCTGGTTGTCAAGCGCATGCCCATAGATCAACATATCCAGCTCAAAGTCTGCCTGGCAGTTTTGTGTATAAATAACATTTGTTCACTTACTGACCTGATCTGGATAATTGTTATTTCACCATTCTGTCTAGTTTTCAGTTATGAGTGTTAGGTCCACAGAAGTGACCAAAGGGCTAACCATTTCCCTAGAAAGAAACAATTTAATACACAGGCAGTGTGTGATAGGCTGAACACAGCATTTTTCATGTAGCCAGACTTCATACCTTAGTTCCTGTTTGCTGGTTCCCAAAGTAACACTGGTGATGGTGTAGATTATTATTATTAGAAGATTATTATACAATATCCATATCACAGCTGTGATTACGGCAGCAGCTCTGTATTAAGAAAGAATTGTCTAGAGAACTGACGGCATAGTTTGCCTGGCAGTGCCTGTTGGTTAAGTGTTAGGTGGAGAAATGAGAGGGAAACAAGGCAACAGGCAAGTGTGGTGGAACCATGTGGAGGAGTTCAGCATTTGAGCCTTCACAAGGAGTCTTCTGCCAGATGTTGCGTAAGCACTCAAAACTGGGTCAGTGTTCCCTCCATCCACACACGGACAGGGTAAATTATAGCTTGCCATGCCAACCTTACTGAAAATACAGTTGAGTGCATTGCAAAAAGACTACATTCTAAGATGTGCCCTCGTGCTCGCGCATTTGCCCATCAAAATGTGTGGCACGCATCCCAGCAGTCTTATCTTGGTAGTTTTACCGCCTTTCACACATCTTTGCCAAACCCATAACCGTAGAGCAGTATGACGCCCTTGAATGTTCAGTGTGTGTTTAACTGTCATTCGCATGGCTTCGGATAGGAAACTGTCAAACAAAATTCTGCTAATGGTGAGTGTTGTCAAATAGTGCAATGTACCTTTTTTAGAGCAATCCAATAAATTTTTCATAGTTCATTTTATTCCCTCTCCCCCTTCAGTGACGTTGGCATCACCCACTACTTGTACATTCTGTCCTTTTTATTTTCTCTTCGCACTGTACTGTGTAACTGTTGTCAAAAGGGTAAAGGGATAAAAAAAGAGTTTAAAAACTGTGAGGCTAAATAGTACAATCTCAATATAATTCTTCCTTTTTTCCTTCTGATACTTGACTTGTGGTTATTAAGCTCCCGCTGTGCAGTGTGGTTTTGAGTTTAGTAGGTCACTGGATTTGAGTATTTTGTTTTTTCGATCTGGCTAAGTACATGTATTTGTACAATGTGGGTGATTTTAAATATTGGATAGACGGTAGTTTCTGATGATTGGCACACAAGTCATCAACTTGCATAATGTTGTTTTATCTGGGAGGGAAATATGTAAAGCTAGATTTTGGCGGCATTGTGATTTTCTTGTTAAAGCAATTGCTTGTCCCCTTTTCAACATGTTCTGCTGTTAAAGGGATTATTTACCGAAATGGCATAACTCATGGCAGCAGAAAATAACTGTCGCTGAATTCGAAGTGCGGCGATGTCTTACAACCCAAACATTTTTTTTTTTGTCAAATGAAAACAAATTTCAGAGAAAAATATTACTTCAGTACAAAAGTGCCTGTCACAAATGGACCTGGGTTTGCAAGAATGTGTTTGTATACCTTACCTCCAAACCATCTGACTGTGGAGCAGATGGTTATTATTTCAGCAGCATACAAAGAGTGTACTGTTTGCCTGCTTCAATGTCACTCTGGCTGTCTTTTACATTGTCTGTATTGTGCTAGCAGATAACTATATAAACTGAAGTCTACTCATGGATTGTGTTTAGTGCAGCTGGACAATAAAAGGTTATAGATAACGCTCCCACAAGATTAAAGAATCAGTTTAATTATAAAGTCTTTGTTTTATATTCTCGCTGTGTGCTTGACTAGAAGATTGTAAAATGCCTCTTTTCTTACACTATGATTCATATGCTGGTATCTGAAACCTGACAGATGATAGTGTCAAGTACATTACATGTGCAGCAGTTGAGTAAATCACACAAAGCTAGGCTACCGAGGAAAGCCTTGTCACATGGCGTGTGGATACAGTTTCACACTGGGGCAGCTGCTGTGGTCTGTCTTGTCTTCTCTTCCCATCTGAGATGGTGATAAAAATGTTGGAATTGCAGTATAATTTATTTATGGAGCTTCGGACTGCAGATGGCATAATGGTGATGTGGTTAGGCCTGAAGTTAGGTCAGTTGTGTTCATTTTTGTTGGTACAAGTTAATTTAGTGCACTTTTGTTTCGCTCATTTTGAGCTGCCTTTAAGCTTTACGGCTAGTGAAATCCAAACTCTGTAAATAGCGGAATAAGATATCTTGAGATGGAGAGGTGTGGGATGATATCTATTGGATGTGACATGCATATGTGGGTGGGGCTTGCGGTCCACGGTTGCATGTGTTATGGAGCACCTAGGATTGCCAACCAGAATTCATAGTGCAGCCATGCAGTTGCATAAAAAACCAGACCATCACTCTATCTAACCAATTGACTGGCTTTGGAAATGCTGCCATAAGTTCCTTCCTGCTGCGTTTTCCTTATAGGTCAGTGCTTGAATGAAAGAGTTCCTGTAGGGAGGAGCCAGCCAAAGGGGCTTGTCACATAAGATAGGGCTGGAGTGGCCTTGCTTCAGAGAGAGTGGAGACAGAGCTGAAGGCATGAGACGGATTAAACGGTCTTGCTTTGCCTGGTGGGACGTAGCAGCAGGTGTGGAGATTTGAAGCGCTTAATGGAGACTGTTATAAGGGAGGAGTATCAAATGCGTGGGCTTAGCTACCAACACTGTATGGCTTTTGGTGTACAGCATACTGGAATAAAATGCAGAATTCCAGTTTTCTTCCTGATCTTGATGAGGATAATGAGATGAAGTCAATGTATCTTGAATCAGATCGTCTGTCCTTGAATTTTGTATGCATGTGGGGAATATGGAAACATTGTGAGTTCTATGTGTATGTTTGGAAAATGTTTGGCTTGTGAAAAGGACGCTGAAAGAGTGGAGGAGGAGGAGGGAGGGCGGACAGTGTTCTCATCTGCCATCCCATGCGCGAGGTCGCCTTGATTTACCACGTGGACCTGACTCATGCTAGCATTGCCTGAGAGCCAAGAATAGGCAGCATGAATTTCAAAATAAGATGTTTGCACTTTTTCTACGTAAGAATAATTAACAAAACTCATGTCCCCTTTCTCCTTTTTTCCCTAGGTTATAATGTATGACCAACACAGAATAAGTACAACTCTATAGCCAACGGGATCCCAAGGACTTGATTACAGTCGCTTCAAGCCTGATAGTTTGTCCGTGCGGCTGATCCCCCTCTCCCTACTGATCACGCCCGTGTAGTCGACTGGCATTTCTTCTGACAAATTCCCATCCCTCTCCTTGGGTGAAGAAGACTTAGTTCCCCTGTGATCTCAGTCTGCTTTGCCTACCTTTGGTTCCTGTTCTACTCTCAGCAGTGGTACTTCCCTGGATTTGCATTATTCTGTATTAGGTAAGGCCATGACTAATGCATAGGACAGATTATAATGCACAATGCACATTACAGGCACCTAATCCTAATCCTCTCTCTGGTCATCAATTAATAAAGCCAGCTATTACAATGTTGCACAACTGAAAACATGTTGGAAAGGGTGCAGAAGATGAGCATGCTGGGTAGTATTGTTTTATGTATAAAAGAATAATTCTTTTTTTTTTAATTTTTAATTTTTTTTTTTTTAATCTTTCCTCTTCAGGCATACCATCAAAATTCACCAAGATGATTCCAAATGGTTATTTAATCTTTGAGGATGAGAGTTTCCTGGATTCTACTGTGGCCAAAATGAATGCTCTGAGAAAGAGTGGTCAGTTCTGTGATGTTAGACTGCAGGTACGGTTTAATGCAAGCACACACTCACACACACTCACACACATGGGCTGTTGCACTTTTTCAGGGAAGCCACTGAATCATTCTGTGAAACATAAGAGCAGTGCGGCAAGGTCACCGTAGAGGATAAAATGTTAAAACATGTTTGAGAATACAAAACAGTTTGAGACGCACAATATGTCCAAGCAAGCTAAACATGTGTTTAGTTAAAGAGATATGCTGCATAGTTCCACGGGGCAGAGTGATGAATGTTATCTATTTTGTTCATATTCCAGGTGAGTCAAACTTGGAGACTAAAAAAAAGACTTATTTATGTTGATGTTTTCTGTTGTTCCCACTGCTCTCATACCTCAAGTGTGAGAACCTGTTCCCACCATTTGTATGATAAGACCTTTTGGAAAGACTTTTGCAGCCAATCAGGAAGTAGCTTTATTTTAACAAGAGGATCTAATCCCTAATAATTTTCGTCTCCTAATTTTTAACTACTGATCATGTTGCTTTTTTATGATAGGCAGACTCTCTCTGCAGATCAATATCATGGATTTCATATATCATTGTTTTCTATCAGTATCGTCCTTTAAGAACATAGATAATTTATTTGATTAATTTAGATTTTATTTAAATTTATTTAAATGTTTGTTTTCTCTCTTCATTTGTCCAGGTGTGTGGTCATGAGCTGATGGCTCACCGTGCTGTTCTGGCTTGCTGCAGTCCCTACCTGTTTGAGATCTTTAATAGTGACATTGAGCCTCACGGGGTCTCACATGTCACTTTTGAGGACTTGGACCCAGAGGCTGTGGAGATCTTGCTCAACTATGCCTATACTGCCCAGTTAGTAGCACATTTGGCCTTTGACCTTTTTGTCCCTGATCTTATCATTGCAAAATTCTCAACATTTGAAAATGATTTACAGCCTTGTTTTCTTTGTTTTCTGTGCACAACACAGACTAAAGGCAGACAAAGAGCTGGTCAAGGAAGTTTATTCAGCAGCAAAAAGGTTCAAGATGGAGCGAGTCAAACAGGTATGTTGTTGTTTGTGTGCCTCGATTCAAATCCAGTGAGTTTTAACTTGATCCTTCAAAATGCAGAAATTAAACATGTAATTTACTACAACATCTCACACTCACTTCTCAGATTTGTGGCGACTACCTGCTGTCTAAGATGGATTCCCAGAACGCCATCTCCTTTCGTAACTTTGCCAGCTCTATGGGAGATGCCAGAGTTTTGGCCAAGGTCGACGCCTTTATCCAAGACCATCTACTGGAAGTGTCTGAACAGGAGGACTTCCTCAAACTTCCCCGCCTCAAGGTACTAGATAAAACTATAATATAAGACTTTTGTACAAGTACTTGATACCTAATTTAGAGTTGGAGCCATTCTTTAATCATGAAGCTACCAGGCCATTGGTTGCTGGCAGTTGTCTATTTTAGTCCCTCTTTGCTCTAGCCAGTGTTGGAGGTTTTGTGTTGAATAACAAATACTGGCTTAAGCTTTATATTTTTACCTTTCTGACTTTGACATGAGATTAACAACACTTAGTATGAAGGTGTGCCTCTTATAGATTTTCCTACTGCTAAAGCCAGCTAAGAGTGTATTAAGGGCAGGGGGCTTAGACATATGCAATATTAAGGCCTTGTTGTAGGCGGGTTACATAGTGTGGGTTTGTGTTCAATGTGAGGACTACACAAGGTACTTTACCGAGTCAACTGTCTGAGGCTGTTTTAAGTCGGATAAATCACCTGGAGCTGTGTTGGGTTGGAACCTAAACATGTTTACTGTTAGGCCTCCATTAATCAGGGCCCTGATTTAGGATTTTAACATAAAACATTTGTTAATTACAGCTTCTCAATTATGTCACTGTAAATTGATTATCCTGAGGCTTTTGAGTATTGGGCCAAAAAAATCTGAAGATATCACTTTGGACCAACACTAACACTTGATATTTATTTTGGAAACTTAAAGATTCCAAATTAAAAAATGATTAATTGGAAAAATTATCTATTAGTAAACCATTTGTTTGTTGCAGTCCTAGTTCGTAGTGAAAATCCAATGGTAAAGTCAACCACAAACTTGTTAAATGGCCTGCATTGATGATTATGATCAATGACTGACAGCTATTTAGCCCATTAGGTAATTGCTGGAGTCCCCCTTGGGTCATTTGAAGAAACAAAGGAAAATGATTACGCTTATTTAAAGAGAAGACAAAAAACAGCAACTTGGGTCTTCACCATTCAAACCAGTCCCTTTCTCTTTTGGACATTTCAAATACATTTCATCCAGTAACAAAGTAATGAGTCAAGTGCTCCTAAGGCTCAGGTAAATTAGCAATCAGCCAGTAAGATTAAGTTTTCCTGGTAGTAAATGTCATGGTACTGATTTGCGTTATTCCTGCTGTGCATGAATCTAACTCCTGTTTTCTAACTGTGTTTACAGTTAGAAGTAATGCTAGAAGACAACCTGACACTGCCCAGCAATGGCAAGCTCTACTCAAAGGTGCTCAACTGGGTGCAGCGTAGCCTTTGGGAGAATGGAGACCAATTGGAACGACTGATGGAGGAGGTCAGTACTAGTCATGCAACTCTCAGGTCAATCTTTGATACTAACCTGCCCCTTCCCCTCCTTCTGACTCCTGTTTTTGACATCAAGAAGTCATTAAGGGGACTGGAATAGAAATAGCATGCCATTGTCATGCTGCTATGTCAGGACTGTTCTTTTTTTCCCTGTGATTTGTTGAGGTTTTTGCAGTAAGAAACTCTGTACCCCTGACCCATACTACACATTAGAGGTGAGCCAAAAAGAGCTGCTGTTTGCTCTTGTTTTTTGTTTCCACTGTTCTCTTTTGGGTATGTGGTTGGTTTACATACAACCCCATCTGAGTATTACAGTGCTGTTCTCCGCTGAAACACAAAAACACAGGTTCTCAAAGGTCTGACCCCTGATTCTGCTGTCTCACTGCCACTTTACTATCTGAACAGGTGCGTGTTTGTTGCTCCAGCACTAACAGGCACTCCTCCCCATTGATTTATCTCTCCTGTAGGTTTATTAGCAGCAGCAGGAGACCAGACTGAGGAGCCAGGACTGAGCCACCAGGGTAATGAGTCAGAGAAAAGAGAGGGAGGAGAGGAGCACTACTGCCTCTCAGCAGCCTCTCTTTGCAGCCAACACTGTGCTCCCATCTGTCCATGCCATACATACAGATGCATCCCATTTCTGCATTTAAAAGAAAACATTTCTCAAACCTTTAGCAACAAATAGAATTAATTGTATGTCCCTTTGCAGCACATAACAGTGCATGCTAATACAGGTCTATCTATCCGGTTATGTTAAAGAAACACTCAAATTGGGCATTGGACAGAAAACGGCATTTCACATAAGCATGGTGATTTCTTTAGAGAAAATATATATTTCGCAAGACAACAAATTAATTGTTAACCTTCTGCACTTCTCACATTCTAAAATCTTATAGGAGCCTTTTCCTTTTATCCTCTTCTAAAAAATTTTCCCATGAGATGGACAACTGAGTGACTTCAATCTATTTCCTCAGTTATTTTGTCTGGCCTCAGCAGAACAAGTGTAGTTTTGCTTTTATTTCTTGTTGGATTTAATCTCTCATGAAACCTGGATTTAATCTGTAATGTTCAAGCAATAGCTTGATGGTTGTTACAACAACACTACTGTCTTTAGTCATCTGGATTTGACTGCCTATTGTGGCTGCAATCACAATGACCAACTTCTTCAGCTAGAGGACCGGTTTCCAAGCAGCACAGGGGGAAAGAGGGCCACATGCAGCCCCTCATCATCCTCTTCTTCTTTCTTCAGAAGATTTTTCCAGATGCAGCCTTTAATTCATCACCAGCTCCCTCTTTTTTTAGATGCAAATTAAGAAGAGTCACTGTCAGATACCTTCTTGAGTTCAAACATTTAACCCACTCTTTGCAGTGGCAACAGCGTTTGTCTTTTTAAAGGAAGCTTTGCACTCAAGAGACTGAAGATCCAGGCTTTCGTTCCCTTCCCCCCCCTCCTTCTCTTCACAGCACTGCACAGCACAGCACCCCCCCCTCCTCCTCCCCCTTTCTCCCCCTTATGCTGGGGCTCTCAGTGTGTTGCCATGGAGACAGCCACATAGGTGTGTTGTTCCTGTTTGTCTTTCAGGTGCAAACGCTGTACTACTCACCTGACCATAAACTGGTGGATGGAGGGCTGGTGATTGAGGGGCACAGTGAGGTGTTTGGTGGCGAGGAGGACCACCTTCAGTTTGTGCAGGTACTCAACAGCAGCTTGTGCCTGGCTTCACTGAAATGAAGTCTCTACCACATTGAGCTTGGCAGTGTGTAGCTTTACTGTACAGCTTGTGCCTGGCCATGCATAAAAATACTACACAACCTGTGCCTGGCTTGAAGTAAATATGGCTCATTTAATAGCACAGTTTAGCCACAATGTAAAAGCTGATGTCTGTAGATTAGCAAGAAACGAGCTATGATGCCTGCCTGGCTATGCTGTTGAGCACATATTAAAACCATATTTGATTTTTTTTTTTTTTTAAAAGCTAATCTCAACCAGTTGAGTGTGGGCAGTGATGGCTGTCTCTGCCTTTTTTTTTTTTTTTTTTTACCCTCTACAGTATTTTTGAGTTGTGACTGAACTGTGTGCTGTAGCGTGGTCTGAGACAGTTTGCAGTGCTGTGTTGTTGGCTTCAGATGGCTTGAGATTTCAGTACATACTCGGGACAAGATTAATTCAGGTTCATTATGTCACGTCTACATTAGACCAGCTGGATCAAAGCGTAGGTTGGGTATTATTAGGTGGTTTTAGCCACGGGTGGGCCTGTGGTGCAAGCTTGGCTTCTGTAGCTGCGCTGTGCTCTTGCAGAAGAAACCAGTACGAGAGAGCACCCAGAGACAGATGAGCTGCAGCTCCTCAGGAAGCCTGTCGCCCTCCAACCAAGCAGCAAATGCCCCCAAACAGACCGCCAGGAGAGAGTGGAAGTACATTGCCTCTGAGAAGACCACAAGTAAGTGTGTTTTATGAATTACATGTGCTGTATGTGCACAAGTCTCTCAGATGCTGCACAATAACAATAGGTGAGATTAAATTCAAAAGTCTGGTGGCTTTAAGACTTGAAAACTAAACCACTTTACTTGAAAAGGCATAGGATCTTAATTTGGATTTAACTTCTGGAATTTGTTTCAGTTTATTTTTTCCTCCTAGAATTATGAGCTTAATCTCAAAACCTTTTTTTTTCCCCCTCAAGAGACTAAAAATCTTAAATCTTTCCTCCAGACAACACCTACCTGTGTCTGGCTGTGCTGGACAGTGTGCTGTGTGTGATCTTCTTGCATGGTCGCAACAGCCCTCAGACCTCTCCCTCTGCCACCCCCTGCCTGATGAAGAGCCTCAGCTTTGAGGCTCAGCCTGAGGAGCTGGAGGAGCACCCGCTCTCTCCCATGCATTATGCTCGCTCCGGCCTGGGCACTGCAGCCCTGAATGGAAGACTCATCGCAGCAGGTTGGTACTACAACAAGATTTAAATAAAAAGTCTGTTATCGTGTGAGGTATATCATTGGTAGAGCTATATGTAGGTCCGTCTTCACATACTCTATAGCTACATGCACTCCTGACTTAATATTCAGTGACAAAATGACCTTAAGGTGCTCACTTCCTTGTGTAGCATCAATGCCTAAACTGAAACTTGGTTTTTGTTGGGCTTAAACTTCTTTAGTCAGGCTGACCATTTATTTTCAGTTTAAATATGGGGAGAAAAAAAGTGCAAAGGAAACACAGTATTCTTTAAGTCTGATCCTGGTACATCTTCCTGATCTTGCAGGAGGCTACAACAGAGAGGAGTGTCTGAGGACTGTTGAGTGTTATGACCCCAAAGAGGACCGCTGGACCTTCATCGCTCCCATGCGGACTCCAAGGGCTCGATTCCAGATGGCTGTACTCATGGTACAGTACATCATTCATCTTTATCTCAGAGTTATTGACTCTACAATAAAGTGACACTTTGAATATTGGCCTAGAATTGCACCTACTCCATGTGCAAACAGGTTTCCCTTGTCTTGTGCAAATACTTACCTGCTACCTGTTCAAATAGTTTGGTTTCTAAATTCAGTTACCTTAATGTTAGTAGGTCCCAAGTATATAAGGCAACAAAAATTTATATGAGTATTTTAGTGTCACGTTTATGTATCACCTCATGACTTGTCCATTGGAACCTCTCACAGGGTCAACTGTACGTGATTGGAGGTTCAAATGGGCATTCTGACGAGCTGAGCTGTGGGGAGTCATACGACCCACATGCTGATGAGTGGGCTCAAGTACCAGAGCTAAGGACAAACCGCTGCAATGCAGGTCAGTCCCTTCTGCAAGTTTTAATGAGCTGATTGATGCATATCATGATCTCTAAGAAAAATGAAGAAGACTCTTTTAACTTTGTATCTGGTTTAGTTCATTCCTGTCTTCTCTGTTTAAAGGTGTCTGCTCCTTGAACAACAAACTCTATGTTGTGGGAGGGTCGGACCCCTGCGGGCAGAAGGGCCTGAAGAACTGTGATGCTTTTGACCCTGTGACCAAAACCTGGTCCAACTGTGCCTCCCTTAACATCAGTATGTGTCCACACCGTCCCATGTACACTCCACCACATTTCATTAAGATTGATACACATTTTTGAGACACGTCTTTGTATTTTTTTTTTTTTTTTTGTCGTTTGTTGATGGGCGTGAAGGCTGGTGTTAGTCTAGTGAAATTTGCATCCTGAGGAGAAATGAAAAATTGTATTCATGAAGCAATTTTTTTTCCAGGGAGGCACCAGGCAGCAGTGTGTGAGTTGGAAGGCTTCATGTATGTGATTGGAGGGGCGGAGTCGTGGAACTGCCTGAACACTGTGGAACGCTACAACCCTGAGAACAACACTTGGACCCTCATAGCTCCCATGAACGTCGCTCGCAGGGGAGCCGGCGTTGCCGTCCATGCAGGTAAGCCCACGACCAAAACATGGATGCTGATTGAAGCATTCATAAGTTGCAACCTTTGTGGCGTGTATTTAGTAGATGAACATAATGTCATGTGGGAAGCTGACAAAGTTTCATGTTGTAAAGAGGTAGTTCTCTGATGTTGATGTCTCTCATTCTGTCCAGGCAAACTGTTTGTTGTTGGTGGCTTCGATGGCTCTCATGCACTCCGCTGTGTGGAGGTGTATGACCCCGCTCGCAATGAGTGGAGAATGCTGGGTAGCATGACATCTTCACGCAGCAACGCAGGGGTGGCCATGCTGGGCGAAACCATCTACGCCGTGGGTGGCTTTGACGGGAACGAGTTCCTCAACACGGTGGAGGTGTACAACCCTGAGACAGACGAGTGGAACGACTGTGCCAAGCCCCTGTCTCCCCTCTCTGATTGAAGGGGGGGAAGACAGGGAGGAGGAGGGAGGGGGGTGGGGTTGGGGAGTTTCACAGTGCTTCACCGTTTTCCAAACTAACAGGCTTAGTGACGTAATCGTGTTTCGTGACGTTCTGTGTGTGTGTATGAGCGGATATGTATGGGTGGGGCTGGGGGATGTTGGGGTGAGGGGTCTTCAGTGAAGACTGGCTTATATTTGGGTGGGAAGGGGTGGGTGGGAGGGTTGTTGCCCAAAGCAACATGACGCCTTTGCATATTGCATACAATGTTTTTTTTGTGCTGTATATATTTTGTTTCTTCCTCATTTTTTGTCATATGCCAACATTTAATACACATTTAGTGCTTTTCTTTTTCTCTTAGAGTTGAAAGGTTTGTCACTTTCATTGAGGGTTTTCAAATGAGCTATCTACTGTTGGTCACTTGGAAGGTGGCAGTATGGAGTGGTGACGATTGACTTTTGAAAGTTAAAGTTTATTTAAGAATATTTCTGTTGTGGAAAATGTTATTTTGCTCACATATTTAAAGGTCAGTGGTTTGAAGCCTTACTCAGAGTGAGAGTTGATAAACACCCGTCATGGCTTTTTGTGTCATTTAAACAAGCTGGATTGCTTTTTGAATCTTAAATGATGGCCTTTTTTATATTTTTTATACACTGCTGATTTACCAATAAAATAAAAGTAGTAGCAGACAGCTTAAGTCAATGAATCTAACCAGTGCCAGTTTTAGTTAATTTTTTGTGCACGCACAACCATGCTTCTGCTAACGAAACTTTTGTTATTGTGATTTTAACTAATTGATGTATGTAGAGATGCAGTTTACTGAAGATCCTTCTTTTCTTTTGTGTTTTAAAGTGTCAGGCATTGGCAGATTCTTCTGGAAGGAATGTTAAAGCAAGAAAAGTATCACATTTGTAACATTTCTTAATTAATAAATCATTTAAACCAGATTTTTGTCTCCAGATGAACGACTGCTTTTTCTCTAAATGTGTGTAAATTTTTCTGAGTGATGTTTGGTAGTAACTTGGCCATACAAACTTAAAACTTTGAATATTAAATGTTGTAGCTTTAACCAAGACACTTGTAAGGAAGAGGTGCCTGGTTGTGGTTTACTTTAGGCTTTAGCATTTTTAAGAAATGCCACTAGAGGCAAGAAGCCTTGACTTAAGTGTCAACAGCTGATTTTAATGACCCCAAATTTAGACTTTATTGCCACCTCGTCTCCCCCTGGCTCTACTCTTGGAATTACTGAAATTGCTGTGTCCTGGTCATTGCTGCCTATGCTTTCATTGCCACCATTTTCCTCAGGGACTATCACACTAAGCCAGGTTTTTTTCTGCTCCTCTAAGTGTCTTTTAGGGGAGATTATACTAAGCTGGCTAACAGACCTCAGCAGGAAGGGACGACGACAGTCACTCTGGGCTGTGAGTGTTGAATGTGGACCAACTGAGCTGGCTGCATCTGCATGACCTCAGAAATCATTGACTGCCAGTCAGAATTGGTTAAATCCCTACTCTGTGCTCATTCACAAGTTAGCCTCTGATAATCTCTGCTGAGACACCTGACAGTTGCAGCAAAAAAAAAAAATCATACAGGCCACGTGCTACAGCAAGTACAGACTAAATACAGACACTGACGAATGTCATTTTTCCTTGGCCACAAATACAGACGCTGATGTCCAGTCACCCCTTCTACCTTATACAGTGAATTAGGAACATTTACTTGCCACGTTTAGCTGGCTTCCTCTCTCTGCTTTGGAGTTATACAACTCTTGGAGGCCAGACACTGACCCAAAGAAGTGGTAACAAATTGATAAAAGCAATTCACACTTAACACATGAAACTATTCAAACCCAGCAGGTCGTTCTTCCTCTGCGGAAATTTCCACTGCCTCAACAGTCTAGGATAAATGCTGTTTCACCTTAGCCAGGGGCTTGATTATAAAGTATCTGAAGAGAGAAGGGCCCCTTTGGGTGAACGGTTTAATACATTGATAATTCACTGTGCACCTTTATAAATGGTTAAGAAGATATTTCCAAGAAAAAGGAGAAGCAGGAGATTCAGTACATCTGTAATCTGTAGTCCAACATTATGACCGAACAAAATGTTCAATGACAGCTGCATCTGTGTCTAACGCTGCAATATATTAATGAGACAGGAAGTTCAATGAATCCAGACCATCATTGACCCTCTCTGTCTGCCCCTCCCCCTTCCGTCCACGTCCTCCTGCGTGACGTCTGATGCTTTAGCCTCCCTGTGTGTTACAGCAGCAGCAGCAGGTGTAATCTCAGCCTGTCTGCTGGCGTCACCTGCACGCTAATCCCCTTAGTCACCATACACACACGCAGCCACATGCAATCACACTCAGGTCATATTAATCACAGCACACATCCAGTACTACATGGGTGAGCCTCTCCAAAAAACTGCAGGAAATACAGTAGCACAGGGAAAGCAATTATACAAGTTACTGTAATTCACTGTGACTGAGGCTGCATTAGTTTGGAAATCACTTTTACTCAAATGATCAAAAGAAGCAACTGATGCAGGTAAAAAAAAAAAAGTCTCTCAAGACAACACTTTTCATCGTAAACATGTAACTCTTTTACTTAAAATAGATTTTGTCATCAAATAATTTACATTTCTACTTGTAAAAATCAACAAAAATAAGCAAAAGCTGAAATGGTGGGTTCACTGGTTTTCAACCTAGACTCCATTAAAAGTTTGTTTCCTATCATTTATGATTAAGCAAAGCTCAACCTCACCAACAGCTTTAGTTTAAAACAAAAAACAAAAAACTAGCAGCTTTTCATTGGGACACACAGGCAGGTCAAATAGACAATCTGTTGACTTTCAGAAATCATGATTTTGAAATCAGATGTTCTGAGGATTAGTCAGTGTGATATTAAACCATGAAAAGGTTTGGGTTTACGGGGGTTATTTGCCCAATTTGTAACCTCAGTTACTCTGCGGTTCGATCACATCATCAACCAATTCAAATCTCAAGAGAAAAAATATCACTTTGGTTTTTGTGTGGATGAAAGAAATGAGATGTAGATGTAACGTGTTATTCAGTGAGCTGGTAGGCAGATTTAGTTATCTGTGATTAATCAGCTCTTTGCTGAAGCTTCATATTTCACAGACTAATGTGAGAGTGGTATTATTCCTCTCATTTAACTCAAGCAAGAAAGTGCTTGATTTAGATATCTACCAAAATATTAAACTATTCCTTTAAGCCTAGTAAGCTTTTTTAAACTGAAGCTTTCGGTGAAGTTGGACAATCATAAATAATGGAAAACAACTATTTAACAGGGTTTGGGTTGAAAAATAGGAAACACACATTAAAATATAGTTAAGTATAGTCATAAAACAGCTGTCAATTGTCACAGTGGGCCGGGAGTGTGGTGGCTGTGAGGGGTGGTGCACCTAGGATTTCAGACATTGTTGCATCATTCATATGGTCAAAAATATCACTAAATAAATATCCCAAATTCTGTATGTGTACACTATATAACAAACTGTCAAAAGCAAATATATACATTTAAGTAGCAATAATGAAAACCAGCGCTGTGATTAACTAATGACCTTTATCAAAATAAAATATCTAATGTGCATAAATCTTGATAGACTTACTGAACCAAAGCACACCTGAAATATAAAAAAAAAGATAAATCACTGCTCCATTGTCACAATATTGGAGAACATAGAAAACAGGACTCTACTTAGTGGAAAACCGTGTGATACAGAAAATACAAGCTGTTTAACAAATGTTTTTTCCCTTTGGAATAATGGAGAACAATCTACAGACAACCATTCATTCAGGCAAATAGAACAATAATGTCTGTCACAAGAAACATTTTTATGCATGGGAATTAAAAAAAATGTAAACAGGTACAGTTGCAGGAGGTACAATAAAAGAAAACTTACAGTTTTTACTTCAAGGAATCAGTTCATTCAAGGCATCTGTTTGGCTGCTGTGCAAACGTCCTGACACTGCTCCATTCTGGGCTACGTGGTCAAGGTGAGGTTTTGACCTGTGGCCCCAACACAACGATCCAGGGCCGCTTTTAGCTCCATTAACTGGATCCCTCCGACTCTCAGCTTCTCCCTGGGAACACAATTATTATATTGTTTTTCATTTATCATGTTTGTTATATTTAAAACCCCAGACAGACACAGAAATAAAGACAAAGGCAAAGACAGGTCAGTGTGCCTGACCGATGGACAGCCTTTAAGGCCCTAAAGAACAATCTATCTATCAGCCTGTTACAATAGGAAACAGGGTCTTACATAAACACAAATATTTCAGACAAAGCTGGAGCAGTTTTGCTTGGGTCGCATGAGAGATTTCTGTATCTGTGGCTTTTGATGTGTTCTTCCCGTAGCTATGTCGAGAAAATCTGATGAAAATATTGATTCTGTAGTGATACTCCCGAGCTGTTTCTGGTTTATAGAAACTGAGACAAAAAGGCTGGCTGCAAATGAGAGACAGGTAGATAATTAAACATAAAGTTAAAAGATTAACTATCATGTGAACTATTTGCTGTGATGCTGAAGACATTCTGATTGTCATCTTAATGGCTTTTTTAGTCCTGATGAATGAGCATGTTACTGGAAAAGTGAGGTGCCTGCCGGGTCACATCCTGCCCTCCTGGACTGGGCCGGTGGGTGTGTCCAACCGCCATCGCAGGTATGTTCGAACATTGAGTTAAAGGAATAATTTACCCTTTATGCGAAACTAGACTTAATTTTTACTCATGTGAAGAAAGCCATTAAGCCTAAGTAAAAGCTAAGCTGCTCCATTAAGCATCAGACAGCTTGACATACACAATATTTCCTCTTTTGTACCATCAATCCTCTCTGCCTGGGATAGTGCATTCTGGTTCAAAAAGGTTTTGTTTTTTTAATCACCTGATTCCTGCTCTGTTGTGTTTGCCCTTATATTTTATTTAACTTCAGCCTCTCATATGATGATTTGCAGTTTTAGAGCAATTTCACATATTGACAGGTCAATTTCTCTTTACTCAAATTTCAGCTGCTGTGGTGTCTACCCAGTTTTAAGTACATTAAAAATGTATATTAAAAAAACTTCATCAAGTAGAATGCATATGTGATTTGCTCCATTTCATTAAGTTTCATACTTTTTAAATCCAAACCCTGTGTGATATGTAAGTTTGTTGTTTGTTAATCAAGTGATGTGTGCTGGGCTTGGCTATAGTGGGGTTTTAACAAAGGCCAGAACCTGTTGATTGAGTTTCTGTTCCCTGGTTTAGCTCAGTGGGGTTTTTTTTTATTATTATTTGAAACCATTTGCATAAGCAGCAAAACATTTTAAACTTTAAAGTGTTACATAATCCAGTGGAGAGCTGTAGAACTTTACATTGTGCTATCTGGGTGAACCCAAATGACTCTACACAGACTTCTTTATGAGTGAACTTTCTATGTGCTGACCATGTTCAGCACAGAATGTCCATGACAGACAAAAGAGCTTCTGTGCAAGCTGCAGCTTCCAGAAGCTCTGCGTTTCAATGTCAGCTATTTACACTCACTTCTCTTCAGCTGAGTTACATTTTTCTGGTTCCACCACCATATACATCCATTTAGTAACTAACACAGAAGCAAAACACACAACCAGTCTCCTATGTGAACACAGACTCATACACAAATTGGCCTCTAAAGTCTTGGCAACGGCTGCTAAGCAGCAGAGACACTGAGCGAGCTTGTTGCTTGTTTTGTTTCCTCCTCAGCTTTGTTTCTATTGGAACGTTACATAACGGCTGGGAGGAGAGAAGGTGGAAAGAAAGACCAGAATCTGGCTGTCAGCGCCCCCTGTTTTCACCCTACTTCTATTCATCCTCTTCTCCTTCTTCATTCAAGTGTGCAGCTGTGTCTTTTCATAACCTGTGCAAACAGCAAGTTGCGTTACCAACTGTTCACTCCCAGGACGTGTTGGTCTGTCACAACTGATCTGGTTTTACATTCTGGCATGCTCCGTGGACAGAGCGACTGTGTGAAACGCTTCCGGTCAATGTGTTTACAACAACTACGGACTCATTAGAGACACACTGTTCATGTCCAGCAGCAAAAACTTTTGTACGAAGAATGGCTGAACGTAATCGCACAAGGTCTGTGACGCACATGAATTCTGCACAGAGTTGCTGACCCAGATTGTCAATGTATACACTAAAGCGGGAGCGCTGTACTGCTATTGTGTTACATAACAGCCTATATGTGTTTGATAGGTAGTTAATGGATATCCCCAGGAGACAGTAATGATTCGCTCTGAATTGAACATAGAACCACGTGACACTGGGATGATATAACCCATTGCTGTTCTCTACCAGCCATTCATGTTGTTACGTTGAACAGAAAGCTTCCAATTGTATTCATTTTCCTACCTAAATAAGATGCTGCTAAGGACACATGGATCACTGCCATGGCAACCAACTCCACAATCTACCATTTTGTGTCAGTTTTCAAGAAGAAAAAGAGATTGTTAGTAGCAGGAGCAGGATGTGCAAGAGGGTCACCCCTTTAAAAGATTATTAATGAGTGAAATGAAAATGTTAGTTTTATTTTGATTTATTATTTAATTTATTTGTAGTTGGATTCTTGTACTTTGAAATTTTATTGAAATAGGGAATTATAAAAAAAACCCACCACACACTGCACACTTAATATTCTGATAGCTTTTGTGAAGAAATCTTCCAACAAACCTTGATAATAAGGTTTACACCAAACTAAGTCCTCTTTAAAAGTCTTTTTTTCCCCATTTCATGTTCATTTGAAAGCAAAACATTGACCGTAAAAGTCTGACTCAGCTTCGGAGAAAGGCCTATGAAGGAGTGCCAGCCACTGATAACCAGAGGCCACTGGGTTTGCTTATAAAATGTTTGACGTACAAAGACACACAAGGGCTTCTGGTACAGTCAAATAACAGTAGTAAATGATGGAACAGTATTATACTTCATTAATATTATAGAACAGAGGATTAAAGCAAAAGCTGCTATGTGTAGCTATAATCCATTTTTCATTTAATTGTTAAAAAAAAAAAGTCTGAGAGTAAATGATCTGTCTTATCAAACACAAAGCAGTTTCTCTTCAGCGAAGCATTTGAATAAAAGAAAATTAAGTATTGTAAGGCGTCAGGCATTCTTCTATTGAATTATATGCTGTCTCCTATAGCCTGGTTAGTTTTATAAAATAGCAGAGCAGTGGTTATTCTGTTTGACCGAGTTACATAAAACTACTGTGTAAATATTAGGATACAAGATCATACTGTAAGAGGTGACTGCAAAAGATAAGGAGCTGATGTTTAAGGTTGTTTTGTCTGAGCCAGTGAATTATGTAAGAAACAAAATGCAAGTTAACCACTGATGCTAACATGTGAGTTCACATTCACGCACGTACAACGTAAGAGCGAGGTGTCCCCTGGATGAATGATGCATTTGCTCTCGCTTATCAGCTGTGGAAACCAGCAGCTGAGATATGTTGCATTAAAAGACAAAGAGGCTTCAGAGCCTGATGACATGTCCACAGATTAAACTCCTCATTCATACAATACATACAAACACAGAAACAGATGTTTACAAACAACAGCAGGAAAATCAGACAATTAGAGCATCACATGTGCACAGAAATCAGTTAGAAAGAGATGCAAGGCTGCAGATGTTCAAATATTTCTTAGGCCAGAATCTATTCGAGCAGAAGGCAAAACTAAGCTGAAAAACACACACAGACACTGGAAAACAAATTTGTTTTGTTCCTTCCCCTCCCACTCTCTTAAAAAAACTGTAGAATTGAGATGGCTTTCAGAAAAGGGATTATGTAATACATGTCTTTTCAGACAAAAACAGTGTTGCAAACCGTTTAACAGAGTGTGCCGTTAACTATATCCTCTCTGAATACATTATAGCTCTGCCTCTGTATGTACCCTTCCAAATACAGTAGCTAAAACTGAAGACACATGCATACAAATGAAAAAAAGTATCTAAGGACAGACAGGTCAGTCATAGACTCTGATTGAGGATGTGGGATTCTGAAGTGAAGTTACTGTTCTTTGGTGTTTTTATGCCAGTAAATTTTTTAATTGAGGGATCTCCCACAGAAAATTGTTATAGTGGTCACTTTTTCATTTGTTGTATATCATAAAACAAACAGGTATTTGTTATCAAGACCGGAAGGCAACGCAGATATCACTAAAATCTCAGAACTCCTCTGGAAGCTTATTTGCTGTTGAGGCCTATTTGTTCTGAAAGCTGCCCGTCAATGACGGTGCGTGATCCAGGAAAGGGGCCTCCCTGAGGCTTTATATAACTTATGACATCATGCAAGCGCACTGAGCACAGAAATCAAATATTTAACACCATGGATAATGCACTCGCCATGTAAAGGCCTAGATCACTTCACAGTGAATGTAACAAATAAAAAATTTATGATCACAACACAGCCAGCTTAACTATGTCTTTCAGCAGTGACCTGCTGTAACAAAAGCTTGGATGACGCGACTGCTAAGTGCCAGCAAAGCTCTTCCACGAAGTGACAGAGCAGATGTTGTCTTTGATACAAAATAAACCTTTGGTTTCATTTGGCTTTACATCATTATTACAAGCAAGGAAGTAAATCTCTGAAATACAGAAAAATAATACTTCCGGTTATCTAACAATCAGATTTTTTTTAAACAAACAATTCCATTAATAGAATGCTTTGATAATATAATAATCATTATCAATGTACCAGCAACCACAGTACACAGTAGTCATTTAGAGTGATCTATAAAAGAATAATTGACGAGAAGAGCTATAAAATCAATTCTGCTAATAGTTAAAGACAATATTTCCTCTGCTGGGGTTATGAAACCATGAGAAACAGCTTCTGACCGTCCCGCTGCAGCATTAAGAGAGGACACATGACGGTCAGGAAATAAATTATCTGTTGAATACATAGAACTGTGGCTTGTTTCCATGGCAGTTGCTGAGTTCAACCTGCACTTATAAATACAGCTGCGGTTTAGCTTCAGAACCAGGAATGACGCACTTAGTGACTCTGTTGGTCCCTCAATGTTATATATACTGTTGCTGTATTGTTTGACACTATGGATGTAAAACTTAGTTTAACTTTTGCCTCACAAAAAAGCTATGTGAATAAAAGAAGAAGTTGAATAGTTACATCTTAGAATTTCCGAGTGACAACAACCAAGAGTCCAAAACCCCAAAAATATTCAATCAAACATTTACAAGGACATACAACACAGCAAACAACGAAACCTTGCATTCAAGCTGGAATCTGCAATTTCTTTTTCTTCTTGATAAACGATGAACTGATTATTTAAATTGTTGGTGGGAAGAGATTACTGTCCATCAATAATCATAACCAATAACAATAACCAATAATCAACTAATAGTTTCAGCACTACTAATGTAACTTTTTATTATTAGTTAAATTTGAAGAAACAAAATATAGTCTATTAGCAAAGAACATATGCTGTCAGTCAGTATCAGTGACACAGCTCTTCTAGTAAACACCAGCTGTATCTTAAGCAAAAGTTAAACCATGTCATATTTAAGGTGACAACAAAAAAATATGCAGGATAAGGAGGATAACTGTGCACAATATTTAGTGTTTAGATAGGAAAGATAATTTCAGACAAGCTGTAAATGCAAAGCCTGTGTTACATGAGTGAGTGAGAGAAAGGGGAAAGGGGAGGTGGTAGTCTTAAATTCAGCCCTTTAAGCAGAACTTCCTACTCCACTACCTCCTTCCATTAGATACTTAACATTTTACCACTTAAACATATATGAGATATAGCCATTTAAAATAGATATATAGCTATTTAAAAATAGACAACATTAACAGGCTAGTGAAGTGACATTAACTCACTTCGGCTAAGTAAGTAAGTAAACACTTTCTTCACTTTATGAGACTTTATACGAGTCCTTGCAGGAGCAATGTTTAATCTCCATTGTTCAAATAAAGTCAGCCGTTTACTTCTCACGTGTGTCTTGCTCCATCTACCACTTAAATCTTAGTGCAGAACCAGTATTCATTCTTGTCCATGCCACAGATAAATCCTGACCACTCCAAGGCAATGCGTATGATCATGTTTCAACGGCTGACAAGGCTACACTGCGTGTGAGCATTGCAGTCCCATTATATGCCAGCCTGGTTGTGGTATGCCTAACAGATTATAGAAGTTGAAACTTGAAAGATCTATTGAGCATTCCTTCAAAGAAATATGTTAATAATCACCGTCACAGTTCTTTGGAAGTGTTGGCATGGCCACAGTCATTGTCAGAGCTCTGCTGGGGATATTTCAGAGGAGGGCTGATAAAGTAACGGCTATGACGCTGGATAAACAACAACCTGCCCGGGCACGCTGCAACAAAGAACTGAGGACTTCTGAGAACTTGAGAATGTTTGATTGTGATATCTGGTCAGAGGAAAGTCATTGCCAAATGCTTACATCAAACTCAGTGGGTACATGTCAGGCCAAGGCAGTGCTGGCTGTATTTCACTAGTTTTAATGCGCTTAGCCTCCAGAGGAAAGTGACTAAAACCTCTACTCTAGACTTGTCCAGAATGTTAAAATGAACTTAACACTTGTCATACACAACAATCAGACTGGTGAGATTACAGCTGTAGCAACTGTGTGAATTCAGTCAAGAATTCCATTTGATTTTCCTGAGAGACAGGGCTCATAGTGTAACAGCAACCATTTAAATGTCTGGTTAATATAAACTATATATATAAGCAATTGTCATTAGTGTATGTGTGTGTTTGCGTGTCCTACCTGTAGTCCTGTTGTGAGAAACAATCAAGTAGGTCTACAGCTGTCAATCTGGAATCCACATTAACAATCTGAAACACAATGCATACGAGCTGAGCTAAAAATGAATATGTCAAGATGAGTTCAACATAACAAAGACCCCTGCAGGGGAAAAAATGTCAAATGACTTATTAATTAATTAAAATGACATCTAATTGTATTCCAATAACTGGAATGGCACCAACCTTATTAGAGTGGATGATGCCGAGCAGTGTCTGGACTTCCTCCAAACCAGGGGCTGAGGACAAGATGCTGAAGGACAAAAAAATACGTTTTAGAAACGACCTCACTTCCAGGGAAAGCTGGAAAAGTTGTGACATTTTAAATCATTGTCCCAGAAAAGCTGGGGTCAATATATACCTCAATTTGACAGAAAGTTGTGTTCAGTGAATCTTAATTAAATAACATTGTTTTTCCATAAGTAATAACATTAAAAGAACAAATCTAATTCAATGAAATAGGACTTTGTTTGACCATAATAAAGCACTCTCTTTATATTCACACCTCTGACACAACTTCAGTCTGAATGTTTCCTCAATGTATCCATCACCATGCACCCAACCAAAATGCACACAAGGCAAGTTTATTTATATAACTCCTTACAACGAGGCAATTCATACATAGACCCCAAGCACGCATCACTGTCTATAACTACAAAGAGTAAAGGAGGGCTGGCCTCAGAGAAAAATGCAGTAACAGACAAAATGAGAAAAAGTAATGACAGTACATAAGTGAAAGATGAGAGAGAGAAAAATGGTTATTTGGCAGAGTCCTAAATTATCCATATCTAGTGTCCACAGAATGAGAAGAACGAGAGAGAGGGAGACGGAGGGTGATAGCCTGTATGGAATGAGTCATAGCCCTGCTCAAACACGTGAAAACCAGTCTGGAGTGTCTCCTAGGCAACTGTGCTTGAGCAGCCCAACACACACATGCATGTGCATAGATAAGTACAAATGACATATACACACATAAAGTATACATGGTGAAGATTCCTGCAGATAGAGATGAAGGTAGCAGAGTAGCAAAAAGCTTATTCCAAAACAGTCACAGTTGCTAGGTATCTAACACATTTGCCATGTTTATACCATGTGAGCATAATGACTGTTACTCATAACTATTATTTATGCTCTGATATAGTAAAAAAAAAAAAAAAACTATTATTTTCCTGTAGCTAAACAAAAGGGGAATCCATCCACACACACATTGTACATCTGCCACATGAACGTACAAGAAAGTATTTATGACCCTGAAAAACAAAACAATCAGACCCACAGAACACACACACACACACACACACACACACACTGCAAGCTTGAGATAAAAGCAAGATCTTAAAAAAAAATCCTGTTCAGAAAGAGGGCGCAGCTGTTGCAAAAACTTGTCATGTGGTTTTTGTGCAGAGCAAACATCTGCACCTTCACCCACCAGATTTAGGTCTTGACTGTGCTGCACATCATGTATCAGCATCAAAACAATAGCCTCTGTTCACTAAAAGCTCCAAACACAAGGAATGCATCATTATCACAAACCACTGAGTGAGGTTTTGAGGACACTGCTCCTCCTCAGACTGATTAACATCACACAAAGACCCACTTGAGCAGCTACAGGTGTCCTGTCACAACACTGTCAACAGGAAATGATGAACGAACATCGCCTGACCCCCTGACATACATAGTAGGAACATGACATTAAATCAAAACATTGAGGATGTATGTTAGATATGACAAAGCTGCTGGTAATGGTGTACCACCATACTAGCCATATACTGTAGAGCAAAAAACAATAAACAGACAGCTACAGAGGCCTAGAGCTTTTAAGTGATAATAAAGTGCACTGGGACACATATTTGGGAGTTTAGTGCTTTATGGTCTGAGAGGCCTCTTTTCTCTGTTTTATAGCCATTGAGTTGAGAACACTATGTGCAACAGAGGCATCACTTTTCTTATGTCCCCCTTTCATTACAGAGATAAATATCTAAAAACCCCATTGTTATGTAATTATTGTTGAAAATATCTGTAAATATTTATTTGGCTGCACTAGAAATTGTTTCCTGTGTGAAGTACCATGAGCAGAACAAAGATTGCAGAATATAGCAAATTAAAAAGATTACACAGGAAATTAATGATGATTATAATCAATTACAAACCACAACAGGAAGAAGACAGGCTACTGAAGGTAAGCAGTGTTTGTGAGCTGACATCTCAAATGAACTGTCTTGACTCAGGTAGGGAAAATGTCCTGCCTAAAGAGACTACTAAATACACATCAAAAAGATCCCCTAGATCATTATATAAAGGTCTCGTCATTATACCAAGAATCGACTCTAAATCAGCTCATGGTGCTTTCAGTCATTATGGTCCTACTCTGGAATTCTTTATCATATGAACTACGGTCTGCTACAACAGTGTCTTCTTTTAAAAGTAAAATAAAAACATATCTCTTTTCGCAAGCTTTTAGTTAGGTTTAACTGTGTGATGTGAGTCAGTATTATTATTATCATTATTATTATTATCATTATCTCCCTTTTATAATAATGATAATAATAAAACCTTCCTATTCTGTATGTTTTTTGTTCTATGTTTTATTTATGTAATATTTTCTTATCTTATATGCTATTTTGTATTTTGTCATGTATGATGTATCCTGGCTCTTATTTTGAAGCACACTGAGTTTACGCCTGCCATATGAAATGTGTTATATAAACAAAACTGACTTGACTAAACAGACTAAAACTTCATCATATACATTTTTTTATTTACATTATCTCCACACAACAAAAAAAGGGTTATTTTCAGGCTTTTCCATTTATTGTGATAAATGGAAAGCCCTCTGTACTGGTTTTGTAGGACTACAGTGAGAGCAGGAGTTCAGAGTGGCACCCGACGACACAGTGGGATATCAGCAGACACTTTGCCCTTTGGATGGCAGGAGTTTTACTGTTACCTGCTCTCAAAGAGACGCAAAATGTCACTGTGAATAATGCACTGACTCTGACTGGACCTTATGTTTGTGTGGTGTTTTGATGTCTTGTATGTACTGTATGTGTGAGAGAGGAGGAGGAGGAGTGAAGGTTGTGCAATAGTGGAAGAGAGACATCATAAGAAAGATAAATCAAAAAATAAATACATATAAAATACTGTGTATACTTGAATAGCCCAATGAACAACAGTGAAAGTTTAGCCATGTTCTTAAATTATATTAAGTCAAATGAAAGAGCTCTTAATGAATTGTCATTGTAGGAAAAGCAAATAACCTTACCAAGGCCTCTGTTTTTTGTTGTTTTTTTTTTTACACTAAGCCTTGACCGTGTGATCGGGAGCCAGCACCAGAACGCTGAAACCGCAGCAGTTAAATGGAATTAAGCCATCATTCATTTTTATCATTTACACATGTGCTTTTCCTACTGTGACCTGTCAAAATGTCTTCTGTGAAAAAGGCCCTGCACCTGTTACGGCAGCCATATGAGCCAACACCAAGTGAACAGGACGGAAGTTAAAGAAGGGCGTGACTGCAAACCTATGCTACAAGCCTAATTTGTGCTTTGGGATGGCAAAGAATAAACTGAACAGAAACATGTTGACATGGAAGTTCACAGAGCACATAATCCATTAAGAGCTCCGCTGATGTGTCATCTTAAAGAACTCCTCATTAAATTCAACCAAAGATCATAAGTTAAGTGTTCAATTCCTGTGTGACATGTCAATAAGTCAAATCAAATTTTTAAAAATATTTTCAGATGCCAATGCAGGCACAAGCAAATACACTGGCAAAGCTTAATTGAGAATGAAAACATCCAACGGATAACTGTTAGCATTTTCCATCTCGAAGGTCTGGTGAGAAGCTAAATGGTGCTACAGTCTAGAGCTGCCTGTTGCGTCATGGGAAAGGTGATAAGGCAGAGCTACAAGGTCAAGCAGATTAAAGCGTGACCAACACTACATGCCAAATAGGGCCTGACAGCCATAAGGTCGTACAACACAACATGCACACACCTAACCAGGACACAGGAAGGAGCAGGCTGGTTAAGGACAGATCAAGGACAGTTTAAAGGGTCTTTGAGGGTCGAGACAAAGGTGAGACGTACATAGCATGAAGGCATGAAGAAGGTTAAATCAGAAGGTTTAGTAAAGATGGGAAAGTGGGGATTTCTATCTCCATAATTACAGACAGACATAACAGTTATGGAAGATGTTGAAGGAGAGGCATTCAGAAGTGCTAGTGGCATGAAATGTAACATTGACCATAACAGATCAATGCCTGCTAAGATTCCCCGTCTATACACAATTTTTTCTTATGTTTTAGGACTCAGGAACATGAACATTCACTATAATCATTAAGTTAAGTTAGCTACAATTAAATCAAATAGTACAAAAAGCCCCTTAAAAGCTTTAACCCAAATGATGCAATGTAATAGACTGAATACAGTACGAAGCTGACACAGAGGCCACTGTGGCAGACAGACAGAGCAGCTGAATGTCTGGTGGTATGTTTAGACTGACAGCAGTGATAAGAGGGGGCTGCAATACCTGCTGAAAGCTTGGAGCAGCTGTGAGACCATGGAGGACAGTCTGTGCAAACAAGCCAAGGCGTCCTGTTGTGGTGGAGGGCATCCCGCTGGCTGAGCACTCTGCATGGTGTGAGGGTCAAAGCCCAGCACTTTGAACACTTCCAAGCTGAAACATGACAGAAAATCATGGCCTCAGAGGTCAGTGGAATGGAAAAAGAACAAACTACATATCAAAATAAACAAAATACAAAAGTGTTGTTTTTGTTCCTACAAATTATTTCATATAACCATTTATTGTAATTCTAATTAAGGAATTGGGCTGTATGGTGTATTAGTCAGCAGGTCATTTCTCGTTTACTTGTTTACTGTGCTGTGCTCTAATTTAAACAAATCTGAGAAAATATCCGTGAAAAATCAGTACAAACCATGACATCCTAACCTGTTGTCTGCAGTATAATCATAAGTGGAATCCAAGCACTGCATACATCAAAAATCTCCATTACACCCACCTTATCTGATACACATTAGACCAGATGTTCTCAAACAGGGCCCACACTTCCTGATGAGAGACCTGAGCAGACGTGGGTTGTTTGTCTTCATCATCGTCATCATCATTCATGACAACATCACAGGCAGGAGTTTCTCCCTACACACACACACACATAGCCATTATTCAAACAGAAAAATATTAAATAGAATTTAACTGTAAAGTGAAAGGATGTTTCTAATAAGAAAATACATCCTGCTGTCCCTTTCGTTGTTGTTTTGGTATTTCGTTATCAGATCTTTCAAAGCAAAAATAGAATAGACTCTATACTCTACTCTGCTCTCTGGATATAGACACAATATATAAGACACAAAACGGATATAAAAGTATTTTTATGTATTTCTTGATTTATTAACCATCACAATACACAACACAATTTGGAGATTGCAGCCCTGGGACGGGAGTTAACCTTTTGAACAGAGGAGAAGTGGAATAAATTTGATCTCTGATGACACAAGGTAAACTTTAACTTGTGCTGAACACTGACCTGAGGTTGTAGCTTATTGAAAATGTTGTCCATTACAGAAATGGCACTGGGAACACGGCTTGAACTTTTCTCAAACGCTTTTACAAGCTCCTTAGCTTCTTGAAGGGCTGTTAAGGTAGCACCACAGTCTATTGTTTTACCTGAAAAAATACATACAAAAGATATATATGGGCCATCAGATGACTGCACCAGAGAGGGGACATGCATTAAGATGCACATTAAGGTTTTCAGACATTCAGCTGCCAGTTTATGAGGTACATTTAACTAAAACTAATGCCCCTGTTATTATAAATGGGTTATATTGCAACACAATTCAAGGCACCACAAACTGCAGCCATCTTTAACAAAGGTAAACATTATAGCCTTCATGAAAGTAAGATTTAATGCAGGACAGTTTTAGTTTACATATAATATTAGATATGTATACCAAATAAACTGACAACTGAGTGTACAAGCACACACACAAACAGTAGACATATGAAAGTGAGGCAAAGGGAAGAGGTGCTACTTGTACAGCAAACCCTTTTTTCATGAGGATGTTTTGTCTGTGTAACCTTCTGAGAAAAACTGTTATGAATATTACGATGTAAGACAAAGCCAGGCAGTGGGCCACTCTGGCCAAAAACCAGCCAGCTCCAGACGCTCATGTTATTTTCGCTTTATACTTGTAAATATTCATTTCTTGTGACCTTACTCTATTCGCCACCGTAATTACTACATGCCTATCCATAAAGCTTACTCTTACCATAATCTAACAATTTCTAACTCACGCCCTAACACAAGCTTTGTCACTTTGTAGAGGCCTGTGAACAGCCCGTCCTCACAAGTATAGCTACAACCAACTACACACACACTAACAGCCTGCACAGAAGAGACCAGAAAATTGCATGCAGTACTTTTCCACTCCCAGACTTGTTCTTAGCCTCACATACAGTTTATCCCCCTTCCTTTCCTCCTCCTCCTCCTCCTCCTTCTCCTCCTCCTCCTCCTCCTCACCACCCTACACTGAGTCCTGGCACAGTGCCAGGCTGCGTGGTACCAAGAAAGCCCAATCAGGCTCATGAAACAAGGAAGCACAGAACAAGGGCAAAACTCCTTTGTTTCAGCTATTAACATTCTTTGATGGATTAAAAAGCATTGTGCCACTAGTGCAGTGGTCACGCCCACACAGGTGGACTTGGGAGTCTGAGAGTGAAAGGCACATACTCAGCACTGAAAGCATAATGTAATTAGATCCAGCGATGAGATCCAGAGCAAGAAGTGCTGCAGTGGGCGACTCAGCATCTTTCTGACACACATTTGAGTGTCCTGCTTTAGCAGATGACCTGATTCTGTATGTAGTTCTGTAGGGTTCTAGCGCAGTGCAGGGCAGACAACGTCATACCCCAGTGGAGTAAGGCTTTTATCGGGGGGATGAGTCAGTATCTCGACACCGCTGCACAAGAGGGAATAAATCATTCCCTAAAGCTGAGATTTTAGATATTTAATAACATTTAATAACTCTAAACCTATTTAATAACAGCATTACAAATTATTTTTATCACAGTCCCTCAGCTTATAGCCTGGAAACTGTTACAGTGGAACAAAGAATATCTTTGCATTTAGACACCTAAGGGTGCTCAGCTGTTTGCACTTGTTAATTTTTATGCTCTTGTCGCTCTTTTCAAACTCACATTCAAGTTCACATTCAAAGCAAAGATTAAAATCAGTTCCAAAGAAACTGGCATCAAAATTTTTTCACCTACATTATGTGATTTTATCAAGCCTTCCCAAATCAAAGCAATAGAGAATATGCTAAAACAAAACACTGTAAGAGGTTAACACACTGAGAATTGATTTACTGCACTCTCTGTAAGCCATATTAGACGTCACAGCTCATGGCAACACAGATATAATGAAGAGCTGATTTCTAAATTCACTTGACTCAGCAGAATATTACATAGTAATTTTTTCTAAATTTGTTTCTGTGTCACATTGGTTACATTTCTCAAGTTATTGTACAACTTAACACTGAGTGCTTAGGTGTTTGAACAATGGCCAATACAGACAAGACTGTTTATAGTGACATACTACATTTATCTGCCTAACCACATGATTCACCATTTCTGTATTATCTGTTTTGTCTTCTAGCTGTTGGACATAAGATTTCTAACACAAACCTAAACACTGTTGTGGAAATCTTTAATTAGGCTAAAATATAATTAAATAAGTACAGAAGCATCCAAAATAAGATTTTGTCCAAAGAAAATATGTGCTTATTAGTTTATGACACCTACACCTCCCCCTCTTCCACCTAAATACCTACATACCTGAGTTGAAGAATTCGATTAGATTTAAAACAATTTGCTGCTTCCTCCGTGGGACAATCTGCCCAAACACAGCAATCCAGTGCTTTTTGAAACAATGCAGGACATCCTGAAGATTCCAGGGTGGTTTTACATAAACTATCTGTTAAGAGAATAAAACACACAATGACATATTGAAAATGATTATTTTTCAAATTATTATTGATATTTTAGCTCAGTATACATATTATGCAATAACATTTAAATATCATTCATCGTTTTCAAATTTAAATCTCAGTAGCCTGTATATACTGTGTACATGGATGTACTGTGTATATCCACCTTGTATATAAATCAACCTATTACTTTACCAATTATTTGTATTATTATTGTATTATTACTTGTATTCATGTATATTTTACAGAAAGAGTTTGACCTTGTTTTTATACGTAAATATGCATGTATTCATTTTCTCATCTATCTTTATTGTCCTTGTTTAGCTGTATCTTCCGAATCACATGTTCCTCAACACTGTTCTTGAAACTGTCTGTTAAATACATTGAAAGCCACAAGAAACTTGAGTCAAATCCCTTCCGTGTGTAAACATACTTGCCCAATCAAGCTGATTCTCCTTTTAGAGACATTAATTAAAATATAATCTCAAAGATAAATTTTACCTCTAACCAGAGGTCTTCGTAAGCAGCCTTCATCTCCACCTCTAACACGTCAGACAGCACCTCCTGCAGGCTGTCCTCTAGTTCAGAAACACATTTGCTAAGGTCGCATTTTGTCTTCTCTTCTTCTCCTTCACTGAGCTGCTGGCTATCTGTGTGCACAACATATATGTCAGTACAGAAGCAAACACAGGACAACAGCTATCCTTCACATAAAAGTTGCTGTTTCATTAGAAATGCATTTCTCTAATACTAACTGAATGTGTGTAGGTGAAATGGCTTTTAATATTCTATTTCTGTTTTTATTTTTGTAATTTTTTGTTCATCAAAACTGATTTGTTTACTCTAGCTGAAACTGTCACCTCAATACAGATGGACTTGAAGTGTAGGAAAGGAAAACTGGAAAATAGGAAGGGGTGGGTTGGCAAGGCAAGTGCATGGATGGTATGTGCTATTAACTACTGCACTATGATGGACTATGCCAAGTAATTTCCTGTTTTGCATGAAGAGCACATTAATCCCTGGCTCACATTTCATTATGCGTCCTACAGAGAGGCCAGTTCTCTTTGGACTGTGTGGCTGGGCTGGTGTGCAACTCCTGCTCTGCACCGGTGATGAGATCTGAGGGTTTGCGTGAGGCAGCATGGCGGTCCCAGTGTTTTGCAGAGGGTCAAGGCCATATCTGGATCTCCCAACCTCTGCTTCCAAATCATTTTTGCTGAGGGCCTTCACCCCACTCAGGAGGGCTTTACTGCATAGGTTCTTATCATTACTAGAGAGGAAAGAGGGAGAACGTCTTTTTAATCAGGTGGCAATGATAACACACACACTCACACAACATTAGGACAACTCATATAACATCAATCTGTGCTGTGCAACATTAATCCTATGTCTGCCAAATATTTTCTTCTACAATTCAGCAAAATGATCAATAACAGTGTCTGGAAATAGCGGCAGTCAGAGAAATGGGTAAAAAAGAAAAAGAACGAGAAATAATACAGCAGCCCTGCTATTGAGCTGAAAAGAAATTCCTGAACTTAACTCAGAACACCTCGCTCAGCACATCTATTCTTGCCCAATTACTCTGTCTGGCTCTCTCTTTCTTTCATCCCAACTGGAACTATCTGGCTGGACCCACTCACAGTCACATGCATGTGCATTATTTGCAGAGGACACACACTCTGCAGCAGCAGCAGCGGTGTGCCGTAGGGGGAGGGGGGACTCACGTGCATAGGATGAGAGCACACTCTGGGTACAGGCTTTGGTATTGCAGGCAGCACTGCAGCACTCTGTCATCATTATTCTCAGCATTCAGACCATCTGGGGACAAGGTGGTACAGAGAGAAAGAGCAAAGAACAGGAAGACAAGAGTGACAGAGAAAAACATGACAGTCCATAAAAGGACAAAGAGATATGTTTAATTCATGACACTGAAAGCACATGGTAAGTGTACAACAGAGCACAGCACGTCTTCTTTCTTTTAAAGACAAGTAGGAAGATTCAAAGATGAAGAACGCAAGATGGAGATTTCAGGTCTCTTTCAAGAGATACACTGAACACGTGTATGCTCCTTAATACTTAGTATTAAGTAACAATAGCTCCACCAAATCGCTTGTTAACACTCCTCATTGAAGAGATCATGCTATCAATGTTGAAATATTAATGTTTGATCAATATTACATACAGCTAAGAAGTGGGTTACCTTATGCTTGGGTGCAACCTACCCTTGAGATGCACACAATGTATGCTATGCCGATGAATTCTGGAGAACCAGCTTAGTGCTAGTGCCACCTAGTGTCTATGCAGTGAACAGTCAAGCATTTACTAATTAATGGAATTAATTCATGGCCATAAATCTCTTAACACCTCAAACACTGTACTTTACAATAGAGAGTCAAAGTCATGCTCAGTAATTGACTACCAAAATACCAACTCTGATTACAAAAAATAATTAATGCAAATACATCTTAATGTCATTTATTTGCATCCAAAAATTCTGCAGGGACTGAAGTGTTGATATGAAAGATTATTATTAGATTATTCTATTGTTATGTTTTCACCCATAAAAAGCATAAAGTAAAAACCTTCCCATTAAGTGCTTATTGTTTTGCCTGCAGTTACTGTAATGTTTGCGTGTTCTCTTTTGTAACCAAGAGTGACATTTATTTCAGCCTGATATGCCACTATGTTTTTGTCTAAGAGAACACTCAATAGAAATCTGATATGAGCTCATGGACAGGCTTAACCCTTAACATTTAGCTTCCCTCTTTGATTGTAATAAATGTATCCTACTTTCAGTGCACTGAAAACTCTGACATTTTCCTTAGATCAGCACTCACCGCTGATCTCGGCGGCCTGCTGCATTGACTGCCCCCAGAGGTGCAGTTCCCGGCTCTTCAAAGAGTTGTAAATGTACGAGATGGCGGGAATGGCCAGGTGTGCCACAGAACCTGACAGGCCTTTCCCCCTTTTTAAGGAATCCAGCTCCTGAAGTACCACCCAGGGAATCAGGACAACAGGGAAGCCCAGGGCTAAGATAACATAAAGTTGGGAGAAAGCGAGTAGTAATGATTTCATAAAACACTGTAAGGACAGTTTATTCCAGTTAAGATACTATTTTCTATAATTGTAGAAATGGTATGTTAGACTTTCTTGGGATTCAACAATGATTCTGTTATCTCCGTTATGAAATTCTTTCTTGATGAACAGAGGCTTGTTAACGTGGTCTCCACTCTGCAAACTAAGATAATCATACTGCCTCTCAAGTCTGCTGTGGTCAGTGTATAAGGACTTGACATGTTGACGTGTTTAGAAGAAGTTTAAGTTGCTCTTCCTGTTCTCCTCCCTAATTTTTAGCATTGAGCATACAACTGAATAAACTTGGGAGTGAAAACTAACTGGATACCTTTTATACTAGAAAGAAGTTTCGTTATTCAACATATTAAACGGGCATTAATCATTCAAGACACATCATTTATTAAAACCATTTTAAATACCTCCAAAGCCATGAGACCTGATCTTTTTCACATAATCCAGGTGACTGAGGAGAATGTTGGTGTCCAGAACCAGGATTAGGTTTTGCTGAGTGGACTGTTTGCCTGTAATAAGACACACAGTTTATATTGATTCCATTATTTGTTGTTGAATATAACAAGTTACAGATGATTATGATGAGTGATGAAGTAGGTAGTTTTTTTTCTTTTCTTTGCTTAATTGGCCACGGGTGTGGGTTACAGTTTTATGTTTAATAGGAATACAGGAAAATGTATTAAGAGATGATGTAATGCTGTGATGTGTGAAGATCATTCTCAATAAAAAGAGATTAAAAAAAAAATTAAGTAAAATGTTAAATTCCATTGCAGAAACAAACCACATAGTTTTACAGGACAGGACATGTTTTGTAAATATCTTCATGTGTCATTCTACAGCAACCGTTTTTCAAAGGATGTATTAAATGATGTATTACTATTAGTATCCAATCTCCACGCAGGATCTCTGGAGCTCAACCAGAGTGACCACCAGGTTCTTGGTCACCTCTCTTACAAAGGCACTTCTACCCTGATTGACTCAGTTTGGTCAGGCAGCCAGCTCTAGGAAGAGTCCTGGTTGTTCCAAACTTCTTCTATTTAAGAATTATGGAGGCCACTGTGTTTTTGTACCCTTCTCCGGATCTGTGCCTCAACACAATGTCTCTGAGCTCTGCAGGCAGGTTCTTCTACCTCATGGCTCGGTTTTTCTCTCTGATATTCATTATAAGCTGTGAGACCTTAAAGAGACAAGTGCGTGCCTTTCCCAATCAAGTCCAATCAATTGAATTTACCACAGGTGGTCTCCAATCAAGGTACAGAAACATCTCAAAGATGATCAAGAAAAATGGGAGGCACCTGAATTTAATCTCAAACATCATAACAAAGGGTCTGAATACTTATGTCAATGTGACATTTCACTTTTTCCTTTTTAATATAGGGACAAGAATTTCTAAAATTCTGTTTTCACTTTGTCATTATGGGGCATTGAGTGTAGAATGACGAGGGAAAAATAAATTTGAACGATTTTAGCATAAGGCTACACACACGCACACACACACACACACAAACACACACAAACACAAACACAAACACACACACACACACAGCCTTATATGTATATACATACACATATACAGTATATATACACATACACACTGGTAGATAGGTATACAATACAACTTACAGTATGCATCTTTAGCTCCCTCTTCTGGGGGGTCTATGTCCATACAGGTCAGTTCTCCATAGCTCTGCATTACATTCACCTCTAATTTCTTCTCAGTGCGGGCAAGATGAAGCTCTTCAACAACTTGCATCTACAGAACAACAAAACACAAACATCCTCTCTGCCATTTTGAACCACTGCAACATCAACATATTGAAGTCATTTTAATGTACTGGCCAACAACAAGTTTTTTTTTAAGGAAACTATCATTTTTGAAAAAGCTACAAATACAAATTAAACAGAGTGTTTTCAGATTAAAGTGTGCTTTTTACTACCTGGTCATACCACGGCTCAGTTGTAGTATTGAACACAGTTGGGAGTTGGCGAGACATGGATGAACTCTTATCTTGTCCTTCAGATGAAAAACTGGGAGTTACATCCAAATAGCTGTGATGTTGCAGGACTGTTTCTTGCTTGGAGTTTCTTATTGAGTCCCCAGAGTGTGAAAGCTCAGTCCCATAATTGAGATTTTTGTTTGCAGAAATAGCATCACTATCATTGCCAATGCCATCCACTGGCCTTGGTTGTACCTTTTTTGGTATCTTAAAGTTGGGAGGCAGAGGTGATGTGAGAGAATCTATTTGTTGCTGAGAAGATGATGACTGAGCTGTCTTATGTGACACTGATGTGACAGTCCTTGGGATTGAAATGACATTCTTCAACACCTTTGAGCTACTCTCTGAGGTAGTGTGCTTGGCTGAAGTGGAAGACTGATTTGTGGTGGAGGCAGAGCGAGTTTTTGTTTCTGTACACAGGCTTCTTTTGGACGTAAACTCATTTTCTCGATGCCTTTGGCTAATTCTTTTGACCAGCTCCCTTCTCTTCTGCCTTGACGAATCTTTGATAGTGTTGCTGTCATTTCCAGTCCTTTGTGACTCCTCAGTTCTGTGCTTCTTCTGTGCATTCTGCCTCTCTTCTTTCTGTTCAGCAGAGGCCAAACTGGCACTCATTAGCTTTTTTAATTTTGATTCACTCCTCCGGGAATACTCTTCATCTAATCTGCCTTTAGAGATCCTCTCTGTTTTCTGAGGAACTGCACATGGAGTGTCAGTGCTCAGGGGTTTTGAGGTTCCCCTTTCCAAAGTCTTACTCCTACTGACAGTATTGTCTTTCCCTGAAATATAATGCTTTGCTTTAACAGAGGAATTTCCCCCGTGGAACGGTAAAGAGACATTTTTTGTTTTTGTACATTCTTCTGCCTTATTAACAGGTTTCTTGTCTGATGCTTGTGTTGTTGCCAGTCTGTAGACAGGCTTTTTGATCTGGCGGGTGCTTTGGGAATCATCTTTAACGGTAGAAGAACCAGAATTTTCCTGTTTTGCAGCACAGCTACATGTAAAGGAAGAATAATACAGTCAGTGATAAACATATAAACGGAAATGAATGATACTCAAAATCTTAATATCTTATTTATCTTTACAGTCATTCATTTGTTTTTAAAGGTCACATTTACTGGGTCTAACCTCTCATGCCTCCTCTTGACACTTTTGAGACGGCTGGTTGCATCTTGCTCTTTGGATGCCTAAAAATGAGAAAATACATAAAATATTGTTGTAAACAGCTTGTTGTGAGTAAGCTGCACAAACCAAAAACAGAAATTCCTGTATGTTATTTTGTTTCTCAATTTATATCACCATATGCTACATGTCCCATGAAACTGACCGGGATAAGTTTGTGTACATCCATGTAGTGTGTGTATGTGTGTGTGTGTGTCTGAGAATGTAAATTGCATGTGTACTCAGATTCTCTTTCCACTTTCTTGTATGTTTTTTTTTCTCTTCCAAAAGAGAGATTGATGAGTAATGGGTTGAATAAATCATCCTTGAAAACTGTGCACAAGTCTATGTAAGAGAACCTGTGCTGTGTTAAAGGCAAACTGGGGCCACACCAAATACTGACATGATTTAGGTTTTCTTATGTAATTAACTGCTAAAACTATTTGTGGACTTATTTTTGAGAGCATCATTACTTTGCCTAAAGCATGTGCACAGTACAGACATACAGTATATCCAAATAGATGATTTAAGTCCAAATAGACCACCCCAAGCAACAATAGTACGCATAACTGAATGTCATCTCCTCACCTTCTCATCTTCACTGGAGGATGAGGACAACTTCTTGCGCTTTCTCTTTTTTGACTTTTTCGACATTTTCCCCTGAAGGTAAATTTGAAGAGCAGACATTATCTTCAGTAACTATGCAAAGTACTTACAGTCCTTACAATCCATATTGAGCTTCAGTGAGACACCACCTTAATATCTAACAGTAAAATGTGTTATGCGAGTCTAACTAATACAGAATTACACCTCTCATAATAAGGGAACTAACAACATACATACAGATATATGAAGATAGAAATATCACCTAATATATCGCCTCTCTATATAGGGCTGACTATATTCTCTATAAAGTGTGTTTGTGCCCTTTATGTAGTAGGTAACTCGATGCAATAATTCAAGTAACTTAGATGAGGCTCAAACGGGCTAACACAGGGTAAACTATTGTGCACAAACATAGCTATAGCTGAAATCTTTTAGCGAAATACACGTTAAACCACTTGCTAAAAGAATACTATAGTATATTAAAAGTAAAGCTGATTATTAACGTCGACACACAACACACAACCCACAGTCAATGTTAAATGCTACCGTTAGCTCATTCAAGCTACCTGGTGAAAAGCAACAGCAAAACCGCGAAAGTACAAGCTAGCCGTCTTCTTCAATGCTTGAAACGTTCGCGTGCATGAATTCAGTGAAATACATCACTAACAGTAAGATTAGTAATTTCCAGCAAACTCACTGACTTGAGTCCCAAAACATCCGCTGCTTTTCCGCCTCGTCTTCTTCTACGGCTGTTTTTTTTTTTTCTTCTTCTAGTATCTACATTACCGCCACTGACTGGGCTGGAGTGGACACCTGCGCGCTCGCATATACATGTAATGTATGTATGTAAAGTCTTCTTTGTTTTGTAGCAGAAGATGCACGTAGCATGCACAAAGGCCAGTCTTCTAAAGAGACAGGCAAATGCATTAATTCCTAGTAAGGGAGTAGACTGCCCAAGGTCAGTCAGTGGGAGTGCGTGTATGCCTGTTTGGGTTATCTCGACCTCTTAGCACAAACATGCACCAAGAATCTGTTCTCTACTTCTGCATTTGCAATTTTTCTCAAGCGGCTGACTCTTCTCCAAAGCTGCACCGTATTTCTTTTAAATAGTTATATAACTGTCAAGTCAGTAGGCTCACAGCAAATTCTACTGTGAGCCTGAGCTCAGGGCAAAGAAAACCCCTCACCATTCTTTCATATCATTTGATTGACTAAACCAATAGCTCCTAAATAATAATTTACTAGTTAATAATTGATGTATAAATGGTTAATAAATCATTTACCAGTGCTTCATGGATCAGTTATAAACAATAAATGGAACTTTTGGGTTGCCAAATTGTGGAAAATCCTCCTCCAGCAAGACTTGCTTTAAACAGCAACATTCACAACTAGTTTATGTTGCTGCAGTTTTATTAGTCCCACCATTTAGCCATCATAAGCGATGTACAAAAACATTTAATAAATTGTTCAATAACACACCACGATGCAGTTCTAAATAGCTAGAAGTACATATGTTTATTAATTTACAGTATTTGTCACCAATTATAGCATATTCATATGATTGCAACTGTGTTTCATTAATTATCTGTTTATATCCCAGCCTCAGCATAGGGGTGCCCCAGGAGGAGCAAGGGGTTGTTAACAAACACATAAATAAACACTTATATTTACTTCAACAACTCCTCCAGCCCCGGCCCTCCAGCCCCTGTTTTTCCAAAAACCCCAAATCTGATATGAAGTTTATAATATAATTTCAACTTGGTGTCATTTCCTCTCAGTCTCTAACTGGTTGCCCCACAACTTGCAGAGCATAATATTTGTCTCAATATTATTTGTGTGAACAGATTGACAATCAGTGAGTAAATGTGTGATCTGTAAATATAAAACACCTGACCAACAGCCTGAGCTGCACTGTTTACCATCATAATGGATTTTCCATCCACCTGTGTCTTCACTCTCTTTATATTTATTGGTGGTTGGTGTGCCGCCTAGTGGCAGCAACTTCCGGTTAAAGTGTGGTGCCTCAGGTTTGAGTGGTTACAGCTGAGTGGTTATATTTTTTACAAATGAAAGAAAGCATACATACAGGTGAAATTCTATCATATTATCTTGAATAAAGCAACAAACAATTCTAAATCAAAAATCAGTACAAATCAATACATTCTCACTCTAAATATATAATCATGTGAGAACAAACCAAGGAGATTAGATGTACTACATAACAACAAAATAAACATAACTTGAGGAAATGTAATGAAATAATCTCACTCAACGCACTCGTTAGACAGAAATCTTTAAGACCAGTTGATCATTGTGGAGGTAGTGAGAATGAAATTTTGTACAATACAACATTGCAAATCTCCACCATTATTTACCTAATGTTCACACAGTTTTTCTAAACACATTGACGATCATGCATTCTTTTGGGAAGGAGAGTCCCTATAGTTTCAGTAAAGCATCTGAAACCATTCATTTGTACAGTGTAGTCATTTATGAAATCAATACTGAAACTGCAATTGTGGTTATATGCCACATAGTGACACTGTAGCTCCATTTACTGTTCCAGTGTTCCCTCCCTCTCTCTCTCCACACACTCTCACTCTGCTAAGCAGTGGTGGAAAGTAACTAACTACACCTACCCTTAAGAACAATTATGAGGAACTTGTACTTTGTTTGCATTTTTCCATTTTGTGTTTCTTTGTACTTACTCTTGCTTCATACTCCACGACTCACCAGTCCAGTGCCCCCCCACTTAATTTCTGCTCAAATAAAACAGTTCTACTTATGAAGGCATGATGAGTGAGCCACCTCTGAGTCCCTATACCATGGGTTGGGAAACTTTGAAGACTTTGAAGGTGACAGAAATCAGATGACTAACTGATGAGCTGTGAGTAGTTTCAGCTGTATGGCATAATCTCTGACCGCTTCAGTAATCTCGGACAGGAATGATAACAGCATGTAGGGATTGTGACAGAAACAGTTAAATGCTCTGGGCTTAAATAGATGACACAATTTGGATTAGATCAGTGACATGTTGAATACATAAAGATTATATTTGAAAATTGGAAACAGCTTCTCTGTTTTGTAGTTCATAGAAATGGTTAATTTTTGCTGGATTTAGTTGTGTTTATGTGGTATGTTGTGATGAAGGTCCAGCAGTCAGATCTCAAACAGACCGGTTCATAAGATTACATCATCAGAGGGCTACATGTGGCAGTGTAGCTTCTCTTATTAGCATGATTCATGAAACTCAATCTTCTCTGTGACCATTAAAAGAAACCATTACCAAATGGAAATCTGCCAGAAATACATTTCTGCTGGAGAAATACAAAATCCTTTCACTTAAATTTATGCTTTTGGTCTAAAAACAGTCACATTTAATAATTTATTCTTCATAAAACATCAGAATCAGCTTTTAAAACCCCACCATCTGAAGTTCAGGCTCATTTTTGTAAATTTTTGTCAATTTTCTATGCATTCATTTTTACCTTTGTTTGGCACCTTATAAACTATCCTTACCCACAAACTCAGCTATAACTCAGGCTTATTTTGTCAAAAAAGACCAAACCCAGAATACAGGAAAAAATGACAGGTAGCTGTAAAAATTTACAAATCCTCAGTGATAAACACTTAAAATATTAAAAACATTAAAATAAAATACAAATAAAAGCAAATACAACAGAAGAATGTAAGAAATAAAACAGTAATACAGTCTATTTACATGTAAATTGATTCTATTCCAACTAATCTCAGTATGGTTTATAGACAAAAATGACATACATGTTTGAAAGCCCCACTTCAGCACTTAGCTTATCTCCTCATGATATATAAATAAAGTAAAAATAAATTAAACATGCTCAGTTCAGTCACTACGAATAGCTACTCCAGATTCAGTTTTTCAGTAATTGTAGAATGTAAACTCCCTCCTCAGGTCATGAGGACATGACCTTGGTGTCCTCACTATCAGCTTTAATACTGCTCACCCTGATAATCAGACTGAATTATAATAGGCTACATCTTGTTTGCTTGAAAATCAGGGTGAAAACTGTCAGAGAGAAGTTTGTTATAGGTTTGTTCAAGCAGCTGCTGACTGATTAAGAGCTGAGCTGAGACAGACATCTGTGTGCCTCTCTCTCTCTCTCTGTCTGTTTGTCTGTCTGTCTCTCTCCCTTTCTGTCTCACATGCACCCCCTCCGTTTCTTTGTCTCTCTATCCTTCTTCGTCTCCTCTCTCTTTCCAGCCAATTCAAAGACATTTGGCTTTAATCAGTGAGCAGATCTGGACAGACGGCAAACGCTTCTGTTACGTGTGTGTAAATGTGCACATGTGCTTGTGTGTGTGATGTTTGAGTATGTGTTGGGGAGGGTCTTTACTCCACTAATGGTTTACTCAGAAACCTGAGGAGGGTGTTTTATGAAAATATGAAAATATTCTTTCAGTCACTTAGATAATGGGCAACTACTGTGTGTGTGTGTGTGTGTATGTGTGTGTGTGTGTGTGTGTGTGTGGAAAGAAAGCAAGGGGGGGGGCATGTGTGCAAGGACTGATTTTATGCTTTCTGATTTAAGGACAGCCTAGGTCCTCTAGGGTCAGGTGTACACACACACACACACATACACACACACACAAACGCAGACAACCTTTGAACACAATGATTGATACCTACATAATGGCTTCACAGCACATTACATATTCAGAAAGCGACTAAATGTAGTCATCATGTCTATAGACCAGTGGTTCCCACTCGGGAACTCTGCGGTTGGGACCCCCATAAAGGCCTGAAGGTAAATCTATGGGGTAACAAAATAACTATGGGGATAAGCAAGAAAATGTGTGTATTATTTTTCTGAGTTTTCACATATTTTTGTGTATTTCTTGTGAAATACTGACTTCTGAGCAGAAATATCAGTCTTTGGTTGAATTGCTCAAATCTTGTGTCTCCGCTAAAGCCACAAGTTAACAGAAACATTTCTGATAAATGATTAATTTTAATGCAATTAATTTTAATGCAAAAATGTCTATGATTTGCTGGTTCAGGTTTCTCAGATGTCCAGAATTTATGTTTTTCTTTTTCATACATGATAGTGAACTAGGCAAGCCAAAAAGGTTGGGAACCAATGGTCGTGACTATTAGACTGATTTACAGTATGCTATCCTTTCTATATGAGGACAGTACAAAAACTCTGGTCTCCACTACGGGGCCAACAAAAGTCCTGCCAGTACTTACTAAATATTTATATGACTCCATTTCCGCTAATTCAGAACCTAGGTGATTCTTTCTACATGTTGCTGCCAACAGAGATGACTCCTCTTCTGGGTTACAGTTTCATATAAACAAATAGGGCTTTCAACCCAGTGTCCTAAACATCTTGACTTGGTCCTGGTTCTTATAAGCCCCACTTGAGTCTCCGGTTGCTGTCGAAAAAGTGGTGACTAACACACTGACTGGCTCTGTGACAGACACCTACCTCAACACATTCTCCAGGTCTCTTTCCCATTAATCAATGCCCTTTTATTAGTCTGCTCTAATAGTTACCCTCAGAGAGAATTCCAGGACTATAAAGGGAAGTTTGTTTTTCGGAATAGTAATGGTAAAGTGTTAATAGGCCTCAAACAATAGCCTGCTATACAAGCCATTAGGCCATAAATGCCTATTCTTATTTCACTGCACTTTATCTCCTAATGTTTGATCCAGTTTTAGTTGCATTTATTTTAAACTTCTTTTACAGATTGTTTAGACTCATTGAGTTGCAATGATGATGATGATGATGATAATTAAAAACACCATGTATAGGTGATGCAAAAGACAACTTAATAATAATAATAATAACTTATAATAACTGATAATATTAAAAGTGGTGAAGATTGTGCTTGTATGCAGAAAAATCATGGTGATACTGGTGATGATGATGATGATGATGATGATGATGAATGATTGCATGAGCGTGGGTGAAGCAAGAGAAAACAAAGAAGTTGTTGATTAAAGTACAGTGGTGATAATTATGCTGGCCTGCAGGATTATGATGATGATAATGATGAGGATGATGAGGTTGAGGTCGACAGTAATGATGATGACATTTACAATGATCACGAAGATGAAGATGATGATGAAAAGGGGGTAGATAAAGATAATAATGATGGAGATGAACATAATGATGGTCATTATCATGTTGGAGGTGAGGATGATAAAAAAAGGGTAAAAATGGTAATTATGACGACGATGATGATGATAATGATGACATAATGTAATAATGATGAATAATTGCATGAGCAGAATAAACAGTGATGATGGTGGTACTGGTGGTGAGTGAAACTATGATACTTATAATTATGATGGAGATAGAAATGAGGATTGTCATTGAGGACAATAAAAAAAGGAAAATAAAGATGATAAAGGTGATACCGATGATGGAGAGGAATAGCAGACCTTTCCCACTGCAGAAATTTGGACTCATAGTAGGAAAAGCACAGGTGTTACCACTGGCATTAACAATGGCTCTTTTCTATTCAAGTATCCCAGTAAGTCATTGAAGTGTGACGGTGAGCTGCTTTTTCTACTGTGACATGACAAAAAAAACTCCTAGATCCATGTGCCAAACTGTAGCTGATCAATTACTATGGACAAATCAAATAGCCATTACAGTATATGGATCAGCACCTGTAATGATGATGATGATGATGATGATGATGATGATGATGATGATGATGATGATAATGATGATGATGATGATGATGGTGATGATGACAGAGGGGACAGTAGTGATGATGATATTGGCATGCAGGATAATTATGAGTGATAGTGAATACCTTGTGCACCTGTACTTATGGTTTGAGTGATGATGAGGGTCAGTTGCGTGCTGGGGTGTAGTGGTGAGGGGGAGAGTACCCAGGGCGCTAACATGGGGAGGGCCTTCAAAAAGCCAGGAATATAAAAATGAAAAGTTAAAGTAAATTATTACTGTTGGCTGGATACATAGTTTGATTATTAGATGTATCTAAAACAGCATCACAGTCTCTGAGTAGCCTTCCCCCTGTCTGAAAGGTGCACTCCCGCAGTAGGGTGCTGGACAAAAATGTATTTCCAAACATGGCTGTTGGGATACTGGGGCTTCAGGTGAACTCTGAGGCATGTCATAAAAAAAAATAAGTGAAACCAATTTTCTAAATCATTACTGAGGATGTCAGACAGAGAGAGTTTAAAAAGTGTCTTAAATATCATTTTGGGTGCAGCAGTTTACACTAAGAGGAGATTTACAACAATAACATCAAGCAGGCTTATTTAATTGTATGTGTTCATTTGTTGATTCACTTCTGCTGTGACAATGGATGTATCAAAAGGAGACTGTCCCACTGAGGCTGCATTTGTATGGGCCTTGAATTCCTAATGTGCTACGCCACGGGAGCAAGAAAAAATAAACATGAAAGTGATGACGAGGGTGAGGGAAGTAATTATGATTATGATGAAGATGATTGCCATGCTATTAAATACAGTGAAGTGGTGATGATGCTGGTTTTCAGGATGATGATGAGAGTTGCATGTGCACAGGTGTTGGGAGTGGCACGGGTGATAATACTCGTGATGACGGGTAGACTGGTGGAAAACTGGATGAAGGAAATCAGCAGCTGAGGTGATGGGGATGATGAAGACGATGACTAGGACAGTGAGGGTGAAGAGCATTGTAACTCCACGTGGCCGCACTTGTACCGGTGGTGGGAGTGTCCGCGAGGAGGGTAGAGCTGCTGCGCCGCTCCCTGCTCGCGCTCAGGCAGAAGTAGATGTTTTAATTCTGAGCGTACGGGGTCGCGAGAGAAGGACGTTGACGAGCCGGACACGAGGACAAACAAGTCTGCCGTTTAATTCACGTTTTATTTTCGTTTCGTCTCGGTTCCTGTCATGTCAGTTCCTCGGGTCGGTTTGGTGCTCCTTTGCGCGGTGCTGGCGGTGACTCGTGCCCGCAGGAGTTCACCGGAGCAGGAGGATGTTCAGGAGAAAATCAACAGCGCCAGATGCACGTCCAGGTGCCTCACCCTGCACATGACTCAGCTAACCGCCGCCTTCAGACACCTCCAGGTAGCCTACCTTCAACCATTTATCCCTCATTTAAGAGTGTTTACTGAACCTGAGGTCAAGTATGACCCTCATTCAGCGGTCAACATGGTCACCAGTGTAAACAAAATAAATTAGAAGTCATAAACTGTAAAGACCATAAACTAAGACTGGGGATTTCCATGCTAATTGCCCATTAGTTTGATACCTAATATGTCGTAAATTAAAAAATTTATCTGACCCTCACAGGTGAGTAAAGTGAAGGCTAATCCCCAGGCTGCACAATTTTAGGTTTTACCTGAAAATAAAAGTCCATTAGCTGTATTTTACAGGCCAGTTGAATTTACTGTTGTGTTGACAACTACACAGCAGTCAGTCTTGATCCATATTGTTCAGTATCAATAGAGATTTTGTTTTCTATTTGCTATTTTCATATTCTACCTAATATATTTGCTTTATATTCATAGCAGCTAACCCCCAACCCGGCTATATGATTTCACAAGAGAATATTGAAGGGTGAAATTAAAAGTGAGGATAGGGAGCATCTTGAATCAATCAAGTGCAGTCAGTTGTCAAATAGGTAAATAAAACTGAAGGACTGAAGTTTTAAATGACTTTCTCACAATACACTGGCATAATGAGCTCACAGCTGTGTTTGCAAGTTTAGCAGTATGCACAAATGGCTAAATCTGTACTCAATTATGCATGTAAATACAGGCATTATCACTAAGATTAAAGCTAAATGGCATCATTAAACTTAATTAAAAAACAGTTAATGTTCTTTATTTTGATTGGCTAAAAAAAAAAAAAAAAAGCCACAGAAGATATACTCACACATCCACCCTTCATAGTTGTCTCTTTTTGTCACCCCTGTCAAGACCTGTGTTGCTTTCTGGAGAAATATAGTATGTAGTATTTGAAAATATGTAGTTTGCATCCAAAACTTTCAGTAAATCTTGTCATAGTTTCCTTTTTAATACAAAGGATGCTTTTCATAAACAATGCAGCAAGCAATGACCACTTAATACCATGTTGAGCAGCTAGATCAGCTAAGAGGTGTTGTTATGCACAGTGGGTACAGTACAGTAGAGCACTTTCTGCCTAAATTATTAATCAGAGGAAACTGTGATCTAGACTTAAACTGTGTGTTGTTTCCAGCATGGTTTTCATCAGGAAGCTTTGGACAAATGTTTTGATGTTGCACAGATTGAAGTTGCCCTTGGTCGGTGCTCAGAGGGGCAAAGGTAGGCCGAAAAATGTTGGGTTGCTGGTTTCTCGTAGTTGCCAAAATTGCTCATCTCAGTGAAATCGCTGGCCCACGTACTGTGGCCTTTGTAGTGAGGAATGTGAGATTAACGGGGACGTTAGGACGTTACCAAGTTCGAAAAGCCACTTATTTTAACGGCTTCAACATGTGCATGCTGTGTAGTGGGTGGGAAAGTCATTAACCACAGAGTTCAGCCCCAATGGCTCTGAGGTGTGTAGAAGAAAGTTTGTGTGTGTGTGTGTGTGTGTGGGTTTGCATATGTTCAGGTATAAAATAAAGGTTTGGTCTGGTCCTCGTCCATCCAGAATAGACCCCTGTCACCTGTGCATTGGGTAATGAGGGTGGCCCCTGGATGACTCTCTAGCAGTGAGGTGTGTGTGTGTGTGTGTGTGTGTGTGTGTGCGTACATGCTTGTGTGTGTGTGTGTGTGTGGTTTCTGGATTGGAGGTGTGAGAAAGGGAACATTTGGTTTAAACTTTATGAAGTGGAGTGCAGTAGTCAGATGTTGAGCATCAAACAGCAGCGATTTAAATGAAACCAACCGACTGGGAGGTAGCAAACAGGCCAGACATTAATTTTCTACTTGGATTTTCATTTTGATAGGTTGAAATGTTTCATTCAATTCTGATATCACTTGTTAATGTCATACTGTTGGCATTAATTGACACATCCAAGGTATGTTTAGAAAATATCTCAGAATGCAGAGAGGGTAAAAGTTCTCCCCACTCAGGTGTATAGTACAGCTAATTATCCATCTCATGTTTAATGTTATATTCCCTCCTGAGATCAAAATTTCAGTTGCTGTTTACTTTTTGTTTTGATAATTCCACTTGGCCTCCTACATGTACATTTGACTTGTTCGAGAAAGTTTTTGAGACAACATTTTGAAACAAGGCAGTATAAAATAGATCCTCAGCAGTCAGGAGAATGTGATTGACTGACGAGACCTCTTGAAACAAGTAGTTTTCTCTAAGTAACTCCCTCTGTTAGTCAGATCTTTTAAGATTAGATAAGTCAATCAACAAATGAATCAACAAAAATTTTGAGAGTGGATGGACAGAAAATTGATCAGCAGCTATTTTGATAAACTGTTAATTGCTTGAGCCATTTGTCGAGCATCATTTGCTCGTTCCAGTGTCTCCAATGTGAGGATTTTATTGTTTTCTCGGTTTTTAAATTTTGTAAAGTGAATATGTTTGGATTCTAAACTATTGGTTGGACAAGAGACTTTGGGCTCTGGAAAACTGCAATGGGAATTTTAAAAATATTTTATTGGCAAAATGATCAGAATCAGTCAAGAACATAATCAGCAGATTGATCAGTAATTAGAATAATTATTAGTTGCAAACAAAAATGCTCAGATGTAGCTTCTCAAAATAAGATTCTCTCTTGATGTAATGTCATTGTTGAATAAATTTGGGTTTTGGATAGAACAAACAATTTTAAGACATGACTAAACTGTGAAATTTTGATGGACATGTTGTACTATCTTGATTATTTGACCAAAAAAATGATTCAGATATTAATCAATAAGGAATATACTCATTAGACACAATCTTAGCTTTAACACAAGGGAGAAAAAGAAGTCAGCACTGACTTCATTACTGATTGGCAGGACAGTGGCAAACAGGAAAAGATGGTGTTAATGTGTGACTCAGAAACTCATTTGAGGATATAAAGTAGGTACTGAAAACTTTGCGTGTTGTGCCAAAGTAAAAGGAGCCTCTAAACTTTGAGCAAACAAGGAAACAAGTTTCCTTTCAGCCACATCCTGGGGAACAGCATCGTTCTCTGAATCTATAATAGGACAGTATAGAGAGACACAGAATGATTGATGGTTGGGAGAGACTGTGTGTTAGAGCATTCATTCATTTAAAGAACATAACGTTTAAAAGAAAAAAACCCTTTTGATAACAGCTCCAGTAACTATAACGTCAGTAAGGATAGAAAGAGCTTTACTCATCCTGCTCTGTCACCACACTCAGACACAAACACACATTACTTCCTCTGGCTTCATGTGGGTGAACCCTGTGTTTTTGGCTCTCTCGCTCTCTCAGTGTGTGTGCGGCTAGTGTGTAGCCACTAGAATGTGAGTCACCAGTTTTCTATTTACACCTCTTTCTGCTGCGTCTCTGGGTTTTCCACTACTTTCCCTTGTATGGTGTAATAGTGTAATTATAGCTCTTTGTGTGTGTGTGTGTGCACATGAGCATATATATGTTGGTATGTTGTCATATCCCTAAATTCCTCTTTGATGTAAACTCCTAAAAATAAGGAGAAATTTCCAGCCTTTGCCTGCAGAGCTGGATCTTTTTGCACATACGAAGTAGATCAGATTAGACTGCGTGTCTTAAACACTCACAGGTCTGTGGTGCTGATGAGCGGTTGGTTAGCGGTTCGAGCCAGGGCTGAGGGCCAGCGCGAGGCTGAATAAGCTGCCTGTGCATTCATGTTTATGTGTGTGTGCATGCATGTGTGTCCCAGTTGCTCTGCGGTAGGTAATTCTAATCAGCCCAGAGGTCGGTCAGCCAACTAGTCACGCTCTGAAAAAGACCGGAGACAATGGTCAGGTCAGGTTGCACAGAGACGGGGAGATAAAGACAGGTAGACAGACGTGGTCATGCACAAAGACGGGCAAAGAGATGGAAAGACAGGTCAGCAGGCAGGTAGACACACAGACAAATTGATACGCTGCCTAAAAAGTGGACTGATATGTATGGCAGACAGGTAAGCAGAGAGACAGGGTGACAGCAGGAGACAGAGGCTTGTTTGACTCGCCTCAAAGATAAAACCTCTGCTTCTTTTCTGAGCTTTTGTGACTGCCCTGTCATTTGATCGGCAGAACCAGGGATAGATGGTGATAAAGTTGTGGCAGCGTAGGAGGGATTCTCACCTGAAAACAGGACGAGAAATTCCAAGACAGTAAATCACAGCCGGGATGGCAAAGAATTGAGTGGCATGCCTTTTGTTCTTTCAGCAACCGAAAGCGAGACAGACAGAGAGACTGTAACCACATCAAAACCGTGACGGCACATTATATTTGATACTTAAGCAATTAAATCCATTCTTCTTCTCACGGCTGACAGTTTCCCTCAGCTGAATCGTATTTGCTTTCTTGCCGAGAGGTAGTTTAGAAGATTGAAACCACTCTCATGTTTGTAACTAAGGAACCAGTTAGCTCAGCTTAAAGACTGGAAACGGGGGGAAACAGTCGGTCAACCTCTGTTAGAAGGTAACAGTCTTCTTACCAGCACCTGTGTTGTTTTTACACTTTTTTTGTATGTAGTAAACAAATCAGATACAACATGGTGATGAGTGAACTTTAGAGGTGTTGGTTGGTGGATTTTATGACAGATTTTGAGCCATGCTAGCTATTTATTCCTGTTTCCAGTCTTTGTGTTAGGCTGAGTTATCTGGCTGTTAGCTGGGCGTGGTATCAATCTTCTCATTTACCTGGGTAAAGGAATGGGGAAAGTGAAGAAGCATATTTCCCAAAATGTTGAATTTTTCATTAATTTGTTGATCATTTGGAGCATTTTTCGTCACTGATGGAGTTTCATCTCAGCTGCTGTTGGAAGTGATCTGAAACAGAAAGACAGATGCCGATGTAATAGTCAGATGAGGCAAAGTTCAGGACCGTATAACAACCACTTTGTTGTGACGCTTGTTGTTTACAGGATGTGGAGCACCACAAACACTAACGTTGACACACGTGCACGGAAACACACACACACAGACACACACACACACACACACA